CAAAGTTATGTTAGCACCAAGTTAATAGTGGTATACATTTACTTACCACTTGTAAGCTGTGGCCTAAATACAGACATTAGAATCATGTACAACATGCATATTTTAGCACTTTTTTTACTTTGTATGTTACAGCTTTACAGCAGGCCCTTTACAATGAGTAAATATTTTCCTCTTCTTCAATGATGCACATAAGACCTATTTAAGTGTTTATAGCTTCCCTTGTGGAGAGCTTTAAACATAGGTTTTTGGAGTATGTTATTTAACATACCACCAAGTGGCTTGCAGAATAATAACTCGCACAACTTACGCTGTACAGATCAGTCATCTTTATGTTAAAAGTATTTCCATATACTTCTCCACGTTCCACTAAACATATGATCACTGACTGTTTGAGACATACTATAAGCTGCTTTTGTCCACACATTCTCTGAGATTCTACATCACACACTTCACAGTAAAAACTACAAGATAGTGCATGGTTTATTTCTTTGTTTATTCCAAACAACAGATACTTTATTTGAATACACAGTTACCTCTAACAATTTTTTTGTTTTTTTAAATGGACATACACAGCATACATAAAGAGAAGTTAATTCTATGTCATACATATTTTGTATCATACAACAGTGCGGTTGTCTTTTTCCTTGTGTTTGTCTTTTTGAGAGAGTTTTTCTTTGTTTTTTGTTGTATTATATGATGAGTAATCCAAAAGTTACAGAAAGTAAGCAGATTATGTTACTGCAATCTAGTAATCTTTTGGATTAGGTTACATACTGTCTTTTGACCTTTTAAGGGCTAAGCTAAGAAGTGGCTGCGTGGACATATCTTGTTATTTTTAACTATAATAGTGTAGTGACACAAGTGTTTTATGTCATCTGATTCAGCACAAGCTCAGCTTTTTAACACCATTGAGATTTTGTTTTCTAGTTTTCTGTTCTTTTTCCTTGTTTAAGTTGATTATTCATTGGTAATCATGTTAATGCTAAAGAGTTCTTTTGAGAAGCCAAATATGTTCTGTTCTTGTGGTTTGACTAGTTACAGCAAATTGTCTTTTACGACAGGACAGGAACAGAACACTCAGTCTACGCCATCAACTCTGTTGTTTTCAGGATTCAAATTTCTCTCTCTGTTTAGTTTGACTCTCTTGGGGATGGAGAGATGTAAAGTATAAAGCTTTGGGTCCAAAAACTGTTTTCAGGCTGGGTGTTGGTTGCAGAGATGGACAGAGTGCTCTTTGAATAAACTCATCATTCTGGCAAACGCTGCTCTCCTGGGTCTGGCAAAGACAAAGATCTATGACACTATTAATTGCTAAAGACTTACTCACTTACTTCCTGAAAAAAAAACATACAGAATAGGATATCTGAATAATATGAACAGTAAAATGTTTAATGAACCTATAAAAGCCACTTGAAGTCTCTACTATGTACAGCTAGATAGCTATACTAGTGATGAGTATTGCTGTCTAGCTGTACAGGCCACATCACACTCCTGACATTTAGGTGACTCTAGCCTCGACATTTCTGATCTCATAGCATTTGTTGTTTTTCAGCCCACATCTTGAAGAAAATCTTGTTTTTAGAAAGCTTGAAGTGTTTTGATGTCTTACAGAAATTGTGCCTGATTAATGCGTTGTATTGCATTAACGCTAAGCCAGCAGTTGCATTGTGAAATGCAGTGTGAGAGGGTCTATAGCTACATCCCTGCTTGGATTAATCCATTAACTGGCTACCAAATGATGACAGAACAAAAACAAACGTGTAAAAGTGAATTGCAGATGAACTTTGGTCTGTATACACTGATCTAGAGTACAGGCCATACAGATGACGCTGCAGATGTAGTGTGGATCAGGTCGGGGATTCACAGTACACACATGTGGCATATTGTCAGAAAGCTAAGCATCTCCAGTTTAGCATGGAAAAACCCTTTTGTTGATATCTCATATGTTTGTAAAGTTATTTTGTCTTGTGGACACAACATTCGTTCTTCAAGAGCCAACAGGTAATCAGTAATGTTTGGACAGTAAACACAAACACAGGCACACTGTTCAATTTGGGCCAGTGCTTCCACTGCAACCAGCTCAATCCGGTGCAAACCTCTCACCTACACCCCCTCTGTTCCTTTGCCTCCTCTCTCCCTCGCCTTCTTACTCTGCCCTGGTCTAAAAGGGTCAGTTCACAGCTGGTCCCTGAGCTTTCACAAACCCGGGGGAGTGGAGACCTTCTGTCAGTGTGTGTATGGGTGTTTGTGGGTGGACGTTTGGGCATGTGAATTCTTAGGCTTAAAAATAAATAAATAAATAAATAAAAATCTGAAAAACATGGAAATGTGCCATTTGCATTCCTCTTCTGTTTCGCAGTCGTATTTACTCATTTTTGAAGTGAGAAAATCCAATTCTTCACCTCAAAATGATGCAGATTTTTTCCTGACATGTTGCAATTAGCTTTGCATGGTTTAATTATGTCTTGGAGGATTGGGGAGAGGCACCTTTGACAGTTTCCCTGCACCATGATGCACATATCCAATAGATTGTGACTCATGTTAAACACGTTTCAATAGTGCACCTTATTTTGACGTTACTTCTTAATTTGTGTCTCATCCTTGTCAAAACTGAAGAGAATCACACTTTATGTTAGCCAGGTAGCTAAATCCTGCTTAATTCGCAACTAATTCTGGTATGACACCTGTCTTTTGGTGCAGTGGTTACGGCATGCCATGCCATATTTATGACAGGATTATATTGTATGTGGGGACAGGACTGCAGATTAGGAGAGAGAGAGACCCAGACTCTTTCTCTCTGTCACTCTTTCCCCCTCACTGTGTCATCTGTTTTCCATTCTCTGTGTTCTCGCTCTCTCCTTTTTTCCCTCTTTTATCTGCTCTCCATCATTGTCGGCTACTGCTCCCTCCCTCGCTCCCCCCTTGCTTCATTATTGTTATCTCGCTTTCTTCTTTTTTCCCCTCTCTCGTTCTCTCTCACTCAGTGGTTCATCTGCCTCTCACATTCACATTAGTAAGCGTTCTCCCTTCCCTCCCCCTCATCCTCCTCCCCCTCCTCCTTGTCTGCCAAAGCCCACAAACTTCTCCTACTCTCTACAACTCTTTGTGAACTCTGGTGGAGTTGTCATTTTGGAGTTTGGCAGAGGGAGAAGACACTGGAGACTTCGGGCTTTTCAACCTTCTGTGTGTGAAACCGTCGCTTCACGTCGGTTTTTACTCCAGAGACTTCACAGGTACTTTTTGTCAGCATTGTTGGCCTGTTTGAAAAGCCTTTGCACGCTGAATCGAACAAGTGGAGCTAAATGGGACATACTCTGCGTCTTTTTGTGACTGGGAACTTGCGTTGCAGATTGTGTTTGTGTAGCAAACGTTGCTCTGAGCAATGTTCTCAGTCTTAGCATTGATAGGCAGATGAAATAACCACCATTTTTCTAGATAGATATGAGTCTGAATGAGATAATGTTTACTGCTGCGGCCAGGATATATGGCAGACTTGTCTACAAATGCAGCAAAGTAGAGCAATATGACAAAAATATGATATAAATAATACATTCAAAAACTATGAATACAAATATTTTTTATCCAGTTAAACAGCACTAATTATGCTCTCTTTGTTATCAAACATGCGTTTGGTCAATGTTCTAGAACAGGGGTGTCAAACTCAACCAGTAAAAGCTATATTAAAAAATCTCAAATTAAAAAATTTTTAATTATTGTTGTGCTGTAACCCAAACTGGCCATTTTTAATTCAAAATATGCAAAAACGTCAACAGTAAAATACAGGCGCTTGTAGTAGACCTCGAAATATTACATGGGCATTTGAAATATTCAAAATTTAAATGTCGCCAGGTGCTCGGTCTTTTAAACATACCTATTTGCTTGATCTTGACACCTGGCATCCTTTCATTGCTACAAGTTCATTAATACTTGGGCTCAATTTCTGAGCTGCTAAGGTAACATAAAGTGTTTATACTGATTGAACTGCAACTGAAATGCATTTGGTGATATGACTGGTGTGAAATTGCATAGAATTGTGTAGAGCTGAGGTGTAACCGTTGTCCCATAGACTGTTGTTGGGGGAGGAGAGTTGGAGCACACATTACGTTGCAGTGCATGCTGGGGTCTGTAGTGCAGCACATTGTGAAACTGGCTAATATTAATAGAAAATAAAAATACATTTGCAGGTCTTGTGTTTGAGTGGTTCTAGAAGTACTGAAAATATCCACAACATACCCAAAAAGCATCGTGTTGTATTGTGACATAATTTATCAAAATAACAAAACATATTGATCATATTGCCCAGCCCCAAGTTAAGATTGTTACAGTAGCAAAACGTTTGTTTCATCACCTGCATGTTTTTAATGGATTTGAACAAAAAATCTAAATTGCTGCAGTTTGATTAACATCTCTGATTCCTAAATTTAGTCTTTTTTTATCTGTATAAAACTTCAAATATTATGTAAATCAGTTTATAATTTAAGCATGGCCTCATTCAGCATGTTCTGAAAGGAAGATTAACAGTGGTATGAAGACATTAAATAAAGCTTAACACTAATCAACCTTTTTAACAAATACTAGTACAACAAATATTATTGAAAACTCTTCACCTGTATATCTTAGATATGTCATATTAGCACACACAGTATGATTCACCTATAGGCAGAATACAGTGTAAACAATGTTGGGTTATTGATTTGTTTACCATTTCAGTATTGACAGAGCACTGAACTTTCAATACAACAACATATGCAGTGCCATTGTCACAAAACTGGAGTGTGGGGAACAAGAGTGGTCACTATAGTTGTTGCTATGGTTCTTGCTGTGGTTGTCACTATGCTGTGGCTCATTTATGTACACACTTCCTGAACTAACACACCTTCTCACTGCAGGTTTGTGTGGATCTTGTGGGTTGCATACATGTCTACATACTGAGAGAGAACCCTGAGGATAATCCATCTTTCTGACCATCTCTCTCTCTCTCTCTCTCTCTCTCTCTGCAGGCAAAGTGCTGAACACGGATTTGAGGCATTACCTCAGCCTGCAGTTCCAGAAAGGATCACTGGACCACAAACTGCAGCAAGTCATCCGAGACAACCTCTACCTGCGCACTATACCATGTAAAACTGACACACACACACACACACACACACACACACACACACACCTTCACACACTCGTCCTTCTTGTCTATCTGCCAGTCTGTTCTTTATCTCCAAAGTCGCCTTTCATTTGGCTGTCAAAGTGGAAGCGGCTGCCACAGCTGAGTTTGGCATCTCTGGATGTCTGGCAGTGGCAAGAGTGCTCGTGCGTCTCCTCAGGCTAAAACACTGCCGTTCCACTGACCTGCTGTATTATTCAGCTAGCTCTTCCTTCCACTGTGAATAGCTGAATAAGAAAGCTGCAGTCCAAGCTTAAGAAGGCTAGAAGGAGGCATTCTGAGAAGTGTAGTTTTTACTGAAGCCTTAGGCTTTGAGATGTTATCCTCTGCTGAATTTGGAGGATAATTCTAAGATTTTTACTCCTCCTGTCTTTTGCATTAGAGCACGACTGGCATATTGTTTGAGTGACATTAAAGTCAAACTGAAATTTCAGATGATAAAACACAAACAAGTATTGTCTTGTTACATAACTTAATGGATCTCTGATGTGAAGAAACTGTTGAGGATTAAATGTAGGATGCACCAAAATGGCAACTGTGGGCTGATTTCCAATATTTTTCATGTAAACATCTGCTGATGCCAAAACATAAACATTTATAGAATGTACATTATGTGCCCAAAAGTAACTAAGGAGCTTTTACAATAAGTGAATTCAGCTACTTTAAAGTGCACCCATTGCTAACGTAGGCATTAAATTGTGCACACAGTTTGTGTAATCTTCATATAAAAGTGTTGACCAATAGTATGGGACGCTCTGGAGCAGCCACATGAGCCTAAGGTCACCATGCCCAACGTCAAGCATCAGCTAGAGGGGTATAAAGCCCCCTAGCACTGGGGCTGTGGAACAGTGGAACTGTGTCCTCTGGAGTGATGGAGCTCCATCCAATACCTTGAAATGGATTGGAGTGATCCAGAACTAATCATCCAACATCAATACCCGACCTCACTGATGCTCTTGTTGCTGAATGCAATCCTTACAGTGGACTAACAGTTTTTCCAGCTTCTAGTATTAAGTCTCCCCGGAAGAGTAGAGGCTGTTACTGCAGCAAAAAGGGAACCAACTTGATTTCAGAAGGAATGTTTGATAAGAAGGTGCCTACAAACCTTAGGATAGATGCAGATGTAGAAAATGAGATTTACCTGGATTAGCATTACAGAGACAGACATTTTAATGCAGTACACATTCCGCTTCCAGACTAAGTCATCAAATCTAAACATCTGTTCAATGCCGACAATTTTTAAAGCAATTATCTGCCAATGCTAGTATGAATGGAATGTTTCTTCCTTGCATGCCAGTCTTTATAGTGACTGCTGGTATGACAGTAATCTATTGCTTACTGCTGTCACAGCAATACAGGCTGAGCTTATAAATTAGAACACAAATCACCATCGTGTGGGGCTGAACAACTTAAGGGAAAATATCTAATTGTGGTTTTGTTAATCAACATTGTGATTGAGATTAAAATGTGATTTTTTAATATATATTAAGATGCAGGTCTGTTATTTTGGAAGAAAATCAGAATGCCCATTTTTTCTGGCTTGAGGCTTGAATGCTGAACATGGTGCACCAGATAGTTATTTGTTGTGTTGTCATGTACATAGCACATGGGTGCTTTTGATTGGTCTAATTCGTCTACAGTCAGTTTACAAGCTCCATGTTATTAATTTAAATTTCCCCACTTAAGATAAAGTTGTTAATAATATAGGCTACAGTTAAAATCTAAAATTAAAATCTTTCAGATCTACCATCACGGATAAAATTTTAAAAAATCAAGGATATTTATACAGACCTAACTGTAATATTAAGAGTTGTAATACTGAAACATGTGGAACATGTAGAAAAAGAGGGAAAAGGTATTTAGCTCAACCTCCCCAGTGCTACAATATTTATATTACTTAAGACTTTGTGAGTTTCTGCTGTTTGAGTTTAAGAAATGTGACCAATCAGTAAGAACTGACCAATATATTTTAAAGTTGACAACTAATAATCCTAATAGTCAGTACAGCACTGTTTAACTACTTTTGTAATATAAAAATAAAATCTGAAATATTTTATTAATTAAAATATATACAACTTTTGGTTAGGCCGTAATTTGCATGTCTTTCTTCGGGTAACAAAGCAAAGGCCATGTCCAGGACACTCGCCAAAAAAGGAAGTAATGTATGATGTAATACACATGAAATGTTTTTGAAGAAATTTTCATTGTTTCCAAAGACCACAAACCATTGCTTTTTTTTCCACCAACCCAGCATTACAGCCAGTGCAAATTTCCAGTGACTTCTTCCCACCTCAACTTGCAGATTATCTGTGTCTTTTATCATCAAGACGAAGCTTGTCCAAAACATAGAATTTGAACCATCCTGTACATTAAGCGTTCTGGTAGCAGAATATTTGATTGCGGCAGTGTTATTTCTGAGCGCTGTGGTGCGAGTGAGACTGAAGAGTGAATTAATGACTGCTTGCCCGATGAGGATAAAGCACAGTTTTACTCTTTGATCTGTGTGCAAAATGAGCTGCACGGAGACAACCCAAATCAAATCAAATAAAACTTCAGTGCTTGCCAGCAATTTAAGCATAGCGTACTCTAGTGCTGTCCTTAGGTCACTCCATACATGGCCTAGTTACAGTTTGACATCTTTCTTTCACTCTCTATCTCCTTCTCTCTCCCATTTACTCTCCTTTTGTTGCTCTGCTGTGTGTTTCTGTGCTGTACCATGTGGCCTGAGTCCAATTCAGCTGAGAAAGGGCAACATGAGTGAGAGAGAGAGATACAGAGAGAGGGAATTATAGGCAAAAATGTATAGAGAAGAGGAATCAGCTGAAAAGTAGAATAAGAAAGGGCTTAGAGGAAATGAAGACAGCGCCTCCGGAGGAGCTCTTGATAAAAGCCTTTAAAAGCTCCTCTGATGGAAGGAGAGAAAGAACAGCCTCAGGTGGTACTCAGCTTCCCCACTTCATTCCTCCTTTCTTTTCTTTCCTCTCATCTTAGTTGTAGTAAACATCATTTGAAGTAGGGGACGCTAGTGAGGCACTACATGCTGTCCCACTGCAGCAATAACACGCAAATCATTTTAAACTTCTGTTCTTGAATGCATTCTTGGGACCCAGTGCGTGCATTCATTGAGTCTGTCCTCTTAACACTACTGTATTACAGAGGTGTTCAAAGGAAGGTGTAATTTAGCTGTTTTCAATATAATTTACTCTTAAGTTGAAGTCTAATTTCTGCAGGCACTCTGGCATTTCAATATTGAGAATCTAAAGTAAATGTACCTCAAATGACAGCAAAGCCTGGTGGCATTTTCTAGCACCAACATGAACAGAGCTGAGAAATGTCAGCTCTTATTTTTGGCCTTTTATTCGAAAGAAATGCCACCCTCGGATGCCTCTCGTGCAGCTAAACAACCAACTCTGCTCCAAAGTAGGTCCCAGAGGACACAGCAGATATACACTTGTTCATGGGCCAGATGTATACGTGCACAGGAGCAGCACAAAATGTGCCTTGATGCAACCGCAATATGCACCAACAACAAGTCTGAATTTATCATTCCATTTACTAAGACTGCAGCTTATCACGCAAACTGTGCAGTGAAATAACAGACACATCAACAATCTTGAGACAAACCAAAACATTCTGCAGAGGTGTTATTTTACACCAGCTAAGAAAATAGTGTTTGTGAAATGATAGCACGGACTGTGCTTGCAATATGCATCACAGCATATTTTGCACTCATCTACTCATGTGTCTGGTGCTGAGAGTTTAAACAGTGTTACTCTGATGATGAACGTTCTTTCAGCATGCGTTCAAGGCTCGAGCCTCAGTCTTACTGTCATTGTTAAAAGAAATCTTTCAAGGAAGTCTCTTTTGAGACCCTAATGCAAATTTACACCCAGTTTCAATAGGTGGAGGAAATCATTGCGAAACCAGCCGTATAATATCCTCCCTTTTTTTTTGCGCAAACCTACCACATTGTACGTGGCCATCCATTAAATGTATATGCATGAGAAAGAGAAGAACATTTTGTGTTTTACCATGTTTACAGCCCATAAACTGCATGTTAAGGCTCAGCTTCATGCATAACATATCTGATTTGCACCTGAAACTGGCTCAAAAGGCTTAGTACTTTGGGCATTACGTGTCCAAAGGTTTGTAGACAGCTGCACAGCCGTCAGTTCTTGTGAAGTCAAGAATATTAATAGAGTACTAATCATTGACACTAGAAGTTGTAACATTGTTGTGATTCAGTCATGGGGGCATTAGAGAAGTTAGGTACTGATGTTAGATGATTTGTTCTGGATCACAAACATCACTCTAGCTCAGTGGAGCTCCATCATTCAACAGAATGCTCCAGTGCTTCACAGCCCAATGCTGGGGAGTTATACCCCTCTAGCTGGTGCTTGGCAATGGACATGGTGACTTAACGTCATGTTCAGCTGCTCCAAAGCGTCCCATTCTATTAGCGGTGCTCTTCTATGGAGATTATACAAAGTGTATGTGCACAATAACACTTGTCAGAAATGTCAGGACCTTAAAGAAGTTGCAGTCACTAATTCACTAATTGTCTGGATGCGTATGAACATATAGTGTATAATGTTAGAGTTGGAATCAGAATTACTTACTTTGGAGTGTTAATTGCTCAAAAACAGATTACTTTTCTGTGTAAGCAATTTTATAAAAGCTGGAAAAGCAATTCTGCTGTGCACCTCATTTATATGCTTGGTAGTCCTTCTCTCTAGAGTGCTGGGAGATGTGACTATGCTTGACTAGCACTTCAGCCACACAAGATGTTTCCTGACAATGGTGTAATACGTTCTTGCTCTTCTGAGTTTAGCTAATTAAGCACATTTCAGAGCTTTCTTTATTCTCTCGCTCTCTCTGTCTCTCAGCCATACATGGAAACTTTAAAACAATTAAATATGTCTTTTTCAGTCAACAAAAAGCACCCAGAGTCCTTTTTTCCCCTCTTTGATGCACTCTGCTTGTGTTCTGTTTAATAAAGCCAGAGAGGACCAAACAACTTATTTTTATAATCCAAAGACAGCTGTCAGCTGTGCCAGTTTTTTATTCAGTTATCATGTATTTGGAGGGATTGATTCCTTTCCCATTCACCAAATCATCTGAATTGGCTGTTTGCAAAATTCTGAGAAAGTCCCACTCCCTTAGTAATTGTTGCTACAGCTACCTGGCATCCAAAGCACTCGGGCTAATTTCAGCAGTACAAAGCAAGAATGTAGAAGAACACTGAGGAGTGCGTTTGAATCATTTTTCATTTAAGAATCAACTGGCTATACAAAATGTTCAGTTCGTTTGAATCATTTTTCATTTAAGAATCAACTGGCTTGTTTGAGCACTGATGAAGTATATATTTTGGTGAAAGTGAACAAAAATCACGTTTACATTATTCAAACCAGGGAAATCATTTAGCCTCTCAATATTAAAGCCATAGGTTTTCTTGTCTTATAAGGAGGAAGATTTAGTGACCAAAGTTACCCTTGCAGAGGACCTAATGCTAAATCTAAAAATGGAGCTTTGTCAGAGTAACATTAACATTAGATGCTGACGAGCTAGTCGGTGCTGAGGACTAGTCATCTGTTACACAAGGTATTTTTAAAAATTCAGTGAATCAATACAAATGCATATATATGAATGCATTAATATTTATCTTAATACAATGTTTTATTCACACACGTGAGTGACATACAGTCCCGTTTAATCTGACTGTTTATAAAGCTAACTGTTAGCGACGAAGTTAAGGAAAGCTAACTGGTTAACTAACTAATCTTACCCTTTTTTGTCACAGTATTTATTGTTCGACATCAAATTAAAATAATAACCAGATAAAGTTTAGCTCAGAGCCGGTGTAAATCTGTCTGTTAATAGTTTTGACACTGGGCTGTGAATGTTGCCTCCAACATAGATTCATTCAAAACTTTTTCAGCATCAGGAATGAAATAAAAACAGCACACTCTCAGAATGATCAGAATAACATGTGTCCACCATTCCTCGGTAGTCTTGCAAGCCAGACTTCTTTTCACTACACAATGTGGCCAAAAACTGTCTGCCTTGTCAGAAAGAGGCTGTTAGGCTCACAAGACAGAATGACTTGCAAAACAACCAGTTACAGCCTGCTGTTTTGGTGCATCCTGTAGGGAGAGGCGACTGTGAAGATCGTACAGATATACACCGATCAGGCATGACATTATGACCACCTCCTTGTTTCTGCGCTCATTGTCCATTTTATCAGCTCCACTTACTATATAGGTGCACTTTGTAGTTCTACAATTACAGACTGTAGTCCATCTGTTTCTCTGCATACTTTGCATAGCCCCCTTTTACCCTGTCCTTCAGTGGTCAGGACCCCCATGGACCCTCACAGAGCAGATACTGTTTGGGTGTTGGATCTTTCTCAGCACTGCAGTAACACTGACGTGGTGGTGGTGTGTTAGTGTGTGTTGTGCTGGTACGAGTGGATCAGACACAGCATTGCTGCTGGAGTTTTAAACATCGTGTCCACTCACTGTCCACTCTATTAGACTCTCCTACCTTGTCAGTCCACCTTGTGGATGTAAAGTCAGAGACAATAGCTCATCTACTGCTGCACAGTTTGTGTTGGTCATCCTCTAGTCCTTCATCAGTGGTCACAGGACGCTGCCCACAGGACGCTGATGGCTGGATATTTTTGGTTGGTGGACTATTCTCAGTCCAGCAGTTACACTGAGGTGTTTAAAAACTCCAGCAGCACTGCTGTGTCTGATCCACTCAGACCAGCACAACACACACTAACACACCACCACCACATCAGTGTTACTGCAGTGCTGAGACTGATCCACCACCCAAATAGTACCGGCTCTGTGAGGGTCCATGGGGGTCCTGACCGCTGAAGAACAGGGTAAAAGGGGGCTATGCAAAGTATGCAGAGAAACAGATGGACTACAGTCTGTAATTGTAGAACTACAAAGTGCACCTATATAGTAAGTGGAGCTGATAAAATGGACAATGAGCGTAGAAACAAGGAGGTGGTCATAATGTTATGCCTGATCGGTATATATCTTGCTCTAAAAGGCTTGTTTTTTCATCACGATGTCCAGTGCAGGCAGCTGTTTTCTATTTCTGGCTAGAGTTTATCCTGGAAAACAAAACTTTTTTCCTGTCTGAATGATGAACGTTGCACCAAAGTGCATATACAAAGACGTATGGATAGGATGTCAGCATGTCAGAATGCAACTGACAAAATCCTAATATTTGTGACCAGCTTTGTGTGCAAAATGGAAACGGATCATCTGAGCCTGAAACTAGTTCCTCAGTAACACCTTTTTCACATCTGTTAGCCTAATACTTCTGACTAATTTACTGCCAGTGGTGTTCTTACTGCAGGTTTGTTCTGAGGAGTTTTGTCCATACTTTTACTTCCCTTAACAGAAGTAGCATTTAGACAGATTGGGATTGGCTAAGAGGTGTGTCAGATGTTATTTTGCAAACAGTCAACTGGATTTTAGGTGACATAAGAATGTTTACTTAATGAATCAGATGAGTAGTGATAATTCCATTGATGTGAAAACTATCCCAACTTTGATATGTTGTAAGAGACTGTGTTTAAGAACTCTGAGGTTGCTGGAGTTGGCACTCTTTTTCAAGCATTTACAAGCTAACTGTATGTACTGTATTTGCAGGTACCACCCGGCTGCCCAGAGAAGGAGAAGTTCCGGGAGTGGACTATAACTTCATCAGTGTGAATGATTTCAGGATCCTAGAGGAAAGTGGGCTGCTTCTGGAGAGTGGAACTTACGATGGTAAGTTCTTGAGGAGGCAGATTGTGATGTGTAATGTTGATATTGTGTGTACATGGTAATTTTAGCTCATTGATAAAATGCTATATGCACTGGCAAATCTGATACTGTTTTATAATAAGCATCGTGTGGTATATAATGCTCTGTCATTTATATATATGAGAGAGGGAGAGAGAGGGAGTGTGTGTACGTCTTTGGAAACGCCTCATAGCCAAGAGCAAGTTCAGATATGTTACATTTGGTTCTGGCTAAGCTGAGGGATGAATTTAGCTTAAGATTCATTCTGCGGAAGATGGTGACTCTGCTAGTGTGAGATTACATGGTGCAAACGTGCTTTGCACCGCTTTCAGCTGAACTGCTGTAAAGCACACATAAAGACAGGGATAGGGGTAATCTGGTCACTGTAATGATATCAAACCTCACTGGAGCAGCTTCACATATGCCTCGGGGCCTAAGGGAGGGCATAATCACAGTAAATATGCCCAGCTTGGAGAAAAAACAAACATTACATTGCTCTATTTCTGATCAACTTGGAGTAGTTCCCTTCGATCGTGTTGAAATAAGCAATGAGGCTGAATTAAGCCCTGCCACTTGAGTGGGCCACTTGTACATAACCTTCACAGTTTTTTTTTGTCCTGCCTGGATTGGGGTCGGTACATTTTTTGTTCATGTGCTTAAACAAGAAAAAGGAAAATACAAAAGCAAATTGAGCCATTTTCTCTGGAGTGGCTGTAGACGGGTCTGGATCTCTACCCAGAGGACAGAGAGAGAGGGATAGAGAGTGCATCGGAGCCTGACTGTGCTAGGCTAGTGGAGTTAATGCGGCCCCATGTTGCCTCTGCGGTCGAGGCTATGCCAAAGAAAACCTGCTGGGATGGCCAGGCATGTCAGACAGACATGTCCATATGTGCCCATCCTCAGAGGGAGAGAGAGAGAGACAGGCACTGCGCTTTTAGTACACACACACACACACACACACACACACACACACACACACATACACAGACACTCACATACACACACACACATATGGCACATTAAATGTATATTCAATTAAAAAAAAACAGTTTATGTTCTTTTTCACCGTGTTTCCTTTGCCTTCATGTATAAATGAGCTGCTTTTTGGGACACAAATGAAGCTTTGCCATTAGCTTTGATTTCCAGGAGGCCAGGCCAGCACTGAACTGGAATTAGCTTTGCCATGTTGGAGAAGTGGGGCATGGGACACCATTGCAAATGTGTTCAGATGCAACAGAAGGTGGCTAGATTTGACCATGGACTAGTAAGGATTTCCAAAGGGAATTCTCTTTTAACACCAAGATTAGACGTAAGCTGTGCTCAGAAAACTCTTCCTTTGTGCTTCAAGGCTATATGATTCTCTTTTGTCAATAGTGTAGATTGATTTTTGCTTCTTGCTTCGCAGGCGGCCTCCTATTTTATTGTATATGAACTCTTTCCAGTTATGACTTGATTCTGAGCAATAAAGACCTGTGGCTCATTGAAACAGAATGTCTCAATGGGGCACCTGTCATTTATTCACTGTTGGCTGAATCTGAACAATTACTGTAACAATCGCTGTGTTTCAGATCTAGTTATTCTTAGTATTTAAATCAACATGTCAACGTGTTCCCAGATATAAATTCTTTTTGTGTAATGTTTCATTAAGTTACGTGGTCCCACGACATCTTATGTTCTAATGCCTACACAAGAGACATTCCAGCCAAAATTGAAAATTGAATCATTGCTACATCTGTTGTAAACATGTCTACTTGCCTTGTACTGTGGTGCTGTGATAGTCTCTAGAGGAAGATTTTCTGGTTTGAAGACTTGGAAAACCCCCTTCTCAGGATTATATCTTAAAGGTAGAGGAACTTTTGAAAAACTAGCAGCACCTTGGGGAGAGATACTTGAGGACAGGCTGCTAGCTGATGCAGAAAGAAGCCACATAGCTAATGGTACTGCTAGGAAGCTGAATATCACATCTATATTTATTGGCCTCTACATCAGTGGCTGCGCTAGCAGTCAAGATTTCTTTATAACAGTAGGAAGATTTCCAGTGGATGCAAGACTTAGTGTTGTGAAAGAACACTAATGATGACAAAAACAGAAAAAGCATGCAAATTCATGAATTTTGTCAAACTGATCAGGCTCATGAAGGATGAGGCTGAGAGATGCAGTGCTGCACTACAAAGTATTACATAACATGCCTCTTTCAATTAATTAGTGTATTACAGGTGTATAAAATCAAGTACAGCCATGCAGTCTCCACAGACAAACATTGCCAGTAGATTGGGTCATACTTAAGAGCTCAGTGACTTTAAATGTTGCACTGTAATAGGATGCCACCAGTCACTTCGTGAAATTTATGCCCTGCTAGACACGCCCCCAAATCTTGTGAAAAGCCTTCACAGAAGAGTGGAAGATGTTACAGCTGGAAAGGAGAGGGGGCAAATCTATATTAATGGCAGTGGTTTTGGAATGGGATGTCTAAGAAGGTCATATATTTGTGACGGTCAGGTGTCCACATAATGTTGTGTATGTTAACATTTTAGGCCTTTCTAAGTATGTGAAGTGTGTAGGTGCTATGGAGTCTTTTTTTTAGCCTAGAGCACATCGAGTGCCATTTCATTGCATTCCCTTATTTAGATTGTCATCTTATTATGCTTCGTGGGCATGGAAATAACCTTCACCCTCAGCCAAAATGTCAACAACATTAGGAAAACGCTGAGGCACCTTTCCCTTCTTAGACAGATTATATAGCTCCTTGTAGATCGGTGGTGACAAATTATACCATAAATATACCTGGATGCCGAACTGTGGTCACAACTTTACATCTCTCACACATTGAAACGTGTTTGTTTGGTGATAAATCAAAGTTAGTGGGTAGATGAGACAAGGCTTAACTTAGCACTTCTCCTGCACCTAGCTATGACTATTCTGTGTTTGGGTTCATCTCTCCTCCAGTCAGTGCACTGTAGAGGATTTGTGCTGTCAGAGCATTCATAATCCCTCTGCATGTTCAGAAAGAGGTGAAGGGAGTTATAGACAGTAATTAATTGGTGTTTAAAAAAAGCATATTCTCCTGTGACTTCCATTCCTATTCTCTAATTAAGCTACTTATAATATATGGTTCAAAGGAGGAGGTTTAATCTAACTGATGATTACGAGGATTGTTGTGTTTGTGAAATGAAATTGAATATTTGACCTTAAACTACTGCTTTCCTTCACATTCTTTAATTACATTAAGAGGAAACATGTTGACTGTTTTCCTTTTTTTCTTAAAGAAGAAGAAGAAGACAGCAAACAAATATAAATCTGTATAATTTAGATTAATCTGTGCGTAGTTTATGGAGGTTGAGCAGTTGATTTAAAGAGAGATTTTTTTTTCACCCTTCGAAATGAATCTAATCATACTGAGAGTGATTTTCGTGCCACATCAAGAGAGACTAATGAAACCGCACACATGCACACACACATAAACACACGCCACTGAATTAGAAAATCATCTAAGCACATTATACAGAGCTCTGATTGGATGCTCCATTCTTGGTGCTGAATATTAATGAACTATTCTTTTTTTGCATTAGAATAGAACACGGAGGATGGGGTTCATTACTGAATCCAATGGAGAGTGTAATTGCTATCACAGCAGCGCCAAAACGAGCTGGTTTGATGTTTCATTCTACACACTGTATTGCCACTACCTTAAGCCTTGTTTAGAGAAATGAAAGAGCTGCAACTGAGTAAAGACAAAGAAGCTTTCTCTAAGCTCCTTTACTCTTCATGTGTCATTGTAGTTTTGAAATTGGGGACTATTTATCATGTGAATAAATGCTGTACTTTTTGAGTGCAAGGGATTAGCTGGACTACTCTTTTTTTTTTTTTCTTTTTTTCCAGTCCCCTTTTCTGCAGTTTAGTCTCGTGCTGACTTATGCCTGGTAGTGACACTGACCACAATACTAACAAGTTCTAGTGTTTGTATTGGGGATTTATATTCTGTGCTGTGGAGATGAGGAGGTACAATCCAGAGCAGTTGTTTTCTTTGGCAGTGCGCCAGGTACCCAAGTCCCAGTGGTTTAGATTTACTTAGCATAACCTGTAGCCTTGAAAGAGTTCTCATGAATCTCTGCCGTGAGAGTGCTGCTCCACAGCTGTATGAGATAGAGGGCATTCCTTTAAAGCCATTTAGAAGAGGAAAGGTGCTGACTCCCAGTGTTCGTGCTTTGAGCAGCCACTTAAAAAATCTTTTTCAGCACATATTCAACAGTGTGTGGAGTCATGTTGTTGGTAGAGTGAAGCTATGAAGTCGGACTTTCCTGAATTTTGAATTTATGGAATTTTAACCTGGTACTTTATCACTGTTATGTGTAAAAAAAAAGCAGTAATCCACAGAAGATGTGCGTTGAATTTACCACGGTTAAAGGGTGACAAATCAGCAACAAAATGCAGCATAATTTATTGAATTTATTATCAATAAAAAATATAAGAAAACAATTATTCCACCAGTAAAGGAGAATTTCACTGATCTTTCAATTTTTTTCATTAATTATATGATTAAGATATAAACAAACCAGGCATTTAAGGAGTTTAATTCCTCTTAAAGTTACCTCAGAGAAAGTTTTAAATAAAATGGTTATGAATGCAGTGTCTGATGCCTGAGACATTGTTTTTGAGGAGCTGATGGCCTAAAAAAATGTTTTTCTTTTAAATCAATTCATTGCAGAGAAGTATAATAATAGTGGTGTAAAGGTAAAGTAGTACCCAAAGAAAGCTTAGATTTTCAGATTTACCACAATTTTGCTATATTCAGCATCTTAAAGTTCAAAACTCACATGTAGGTTCACTGATCTTGTTTATCAGATAAAATTATTATATTTGTCTTCTAGACATAGAAATTTTGAAAAAACAGCAGGATCCCATTAACAGTAGGCTATGGTTGCCAAGAAACCTAACAGTCAAGATTGTACCATGAGCATCACAATGGTTTTTAATAGCTTTAAAAAAAAAACAGAGCACATTATTACAGAATCCTGACTTGACTCTTTTGTTTTTTAAAGGTAACTACTATGGCACACCCAAACCCCCAGCAGAGCCCACCTTGGTTCAGCCTGATCTGGTTGACCAGGTCTTGTTTGAGGAAGAGTTTGGCACAGAAGTCCAACGCAAACGCACCACCTCTGTCAGCAAGATGGACCGCAAGGACAGTGTTGTCCCTGAGGAAGAGGATGATGAGGAGCGGCCAGCACTGCCCAACGGGCTTCCAGGTGTGAGGATACTGATTGTACTGTGTGTTTACATGTGTGTACATTACACAGGTAAGGGAGAGTGGACCGCAACCTAATTGATTGTTTTGATTGTTTGTTGTTTAATCATTTTAAAATTATTTGAGCAAGATGAATAATCCTTTGGGGCTCCCTGAGTGGCACAACCATCTAAGCGTTGGCCCTATCATCAGGAGATGGTGAGTTCGATCCCTGGTGATGCTACAGCCATCCGTGGCAGGCAGTCCAAGAGAGCACAATTGGCCTCGCTCTCTCTGGGTGGGTAGGATGGTCCCCCCTTCTTCCCCATCACTCAACGCGATGCTACTCAGCGCAGGCGTCTGTTAGCTGATGTAACAGAACTGGCAGTTGGCGCTTTCCTCCGAGCACGTTCAGCTGTCCAATGACGTTGCGTGAGCGGCAGTTCGAAAAGATACGGTTGCTGGCTTCACAGGTCTCGGAGGAAGCCTGTGCTAGCCTTCGCCCTCCTAGCGTTGGTAGTATCATGCGTTTGGGGGAGTTCTAACTAGTGGGTGGAATTGGAAACAACTAAATTGGGGAGAAAATTGTGTAAAAAAAAAAAGATTAATAATCTTTTTATACAGGCAGCCTACACATCTCTGCTACAAACTGTAAACTTCATTAAAAAATGTTCACTATTTTAATACTGAGAAAGTCATGATAATAGTTTTAATAACTTAAAAAGGTGCATTATTACAGTATTCAATAAGGCACTTACCATTTGTGAATGATATGAAGTGTAAATAGAATGTACCCTATTCTATATCTATATATATTCTATATACTGTAATAATGTGGTTAAAAAATATATATAATTTTTTTTTATTCTTTCATACTGACTTAGGGGCTAATTGTCACATTAACTTTAATAGCCTGGTAAAATGATGCAAACATATTTAATTCAGTACAGTTCTGTGTTGTTTTTAACCTAGCTTTTCAACCTAAATATGGAAAATATATTTGCATTAAATATATATGACTAGTGAAAGAATCTGTGTCAAAGACTGGTAAATTTATGTTTCACTACAAAGTCGAAGTGCAAATAACATGATAAAATTGAAATCTATTTTATTTACAAAGCTTATGTTGTTCATTGTTCAAGACTTGTTTTTCAGTTTTTCAAAGAAATCTGCAGAGATATTTTTCCACACCTCCAAAGTTTAGTTTTAGAAGTTGGTTGCATTTTCCTGCTTCTTACGATCCAAGTACTCTCAATTACAAATTTAGACTCATTGGTCCTTAAAATTAGTCTAGTTTTGGTGTTCTGGTGCAAATTGTCTTCTTTTTTTGTCTCTTTCTTTTTCTCAGTGATGATTTCTTGATAGTTACGCATCTTTTCAGACCTATAGCATTAAGTTGTCTTTTCACAGTAGAAAGATGGATAAAAACAGTGGAGCTGATTTTATCTCTCAAAGATGAAAGTGATGTTTATCTGATGGTGACAGTTTCGGTGGTAAACCAGGTCTTGCACGGTTGTTAGGAGTCCCATCTTTTAATTATTTTTTAACTGTGTGTTTGGAAACTCCTGTTTTTTCTCTAATTTTCTTTGATTTTGCAATTCCTTATCTCATCAGAAATATATCCTAAAAATGAATAACTTGTATTTAATGTCTCTGACTTTTGCACAGCACTGTATATTAGGAGGATATGGCCTGTTGACTGTATGACTGTTTTCTTTGGGCAGCTTAATTGTAACTGCGTGTTAAAACTAACCCCAATGTGTGGAGGCTGTACTTTAGCCTGTCTAACTCTGTAAGTTTGTTTTATACTTCTGAATGGTTCTGTAATACAGACTCCAAGATAGATTATATTACTTATACACACAGCTCGGTAATTAAGAAGCACTTATGATGAAAAAACTCACTTTCTTTGTGGTGAATCTTGAGAATTATGTCGTGAAAATTTGCAGATAATGATGCTATATGAATGAGATAATAATCAAGAGCCCAATCTGCTTGAACCTGTTTTATGTTCAACTACACAAAAATTGTACCCCACATTAGGTTGTGCCCCTATTTAGAGCTCTTTATTCATAAAATATCAATTACAAATTCTCTGTTATTGAACTATGCTTACTACAACAGCAAAGATATTGACAAGTATGCGAATTACTGTTGCGTACTGAAGTCAAGCCAGTTTTAGCCCTGAACTAAGACACTTCCAAGCTTTGAAATTACACATCCATTCTTATGAACATGTCCAGATTCTACAAGGCACCATAAACATTGTAAATTCAGTACTCAGCTCCTCTGTTCTTAACCGCAGACTCCTTTACTTTGGCAGAATAGGACCATGTGTTAGTGATCAACCCAGTGTCATGTGTTCTCTCTCAGAGGAGCGAACTGTCCTTGCTGTACTCAAGGAGAATCTGACACTGAGAGTGAGAGGCTTGTTTGCCTTTAGCCTGCTGCGACTAACACGCCGTGCCATTGAGACAGTGATAAACTCCTCCGGTCATGCGCTGTCCCCGAAGAACCGGAGTTCCGCATTGGGATGGAATGATGCGATGGCGGAAGACAACACTGATCATGTGCACTCAGTTATCAACCTCCTTCAGCAGACTTTCGCCCTTCCTCAAAAGCAAGCTACGATATTCACTGCGACAGGACTGTCCACACTGCATAGCTGAATACATTCTAGTGAGCCGAGGTAGCGATTTGAGCAGGAGCTATTTTTGCGCAGCCATATATACAGCATTCATTCAGCAAAATTATATAGATATAGTAGCGTCCATTTGGCTGTGAGATGGAATGCTATTCTGAGAAATGATGTAAGAATTGCTGGCAGTGTTTGTCAATTACATGAGAGGAAAGGGTACCTGTCAATCAAACAAGCAATCCTTCAGCAAACCGTCCTAATTAGTCACACCAGATTCAGATGCTGTTTGGAATGTATTTCAGGTAATGATCTTTTGGGAATTAGAAGTTATACCCTGAGAAACAGCAGTAAAAGATCCTGAATTACAAACAGCATACCTTTGATCTGCTATATATGTGCAGCCAGAAGTACAGACAGCCTATTTATATTATGCAGTATTGTGGCTGTGTGTGCTGTGGCATTCTATATGGCCCCTCCATATGCACACAGGGTGAATCATCCCAGGCTATGACCCAGCTTAACCCCTCTACCATGTAACGACTTGTTTAGGCATGTTCGTTTTTGAATCTTGAGCCTTTTGACGTTTGACAGCTGCAGAGATGGGGATTTGAGAAAGAGAGAGAGGCAGGAACAGAGAGAGAAAGAGAGAACAAGCTGGCCAAGAGAGCTATAACCAGATGCATTGTGTCCACGTCCTTCTTGATCTGCTTTGATCTAGCGCACACAGTCTATCGTAATGGACATCATAATGGAAGTCATCTTAATGGAAATGTATTGAAACAGTGGGAGGAAAAAAAACTCGAGTATCTGTAAAGTAGGCATTGTTGCCATGGTACCAAGCAGAATATGCATGTCTTGCCTGTGGTAGGCAGGGCCCTCGAGTGTATTGCTATTGATTAATTTCTGAATCTCAGAGTGGCTGTGCATTTGCATAGTTATGGATTGCTGTTGGGATTGGTTAATGTTCTTGTCACAGCCGTGGCTGAAACCAATGGAGAGGAAATAGCTGTTGAATATTCGCTGGAGCAAATAATCCCCTCACTTGCACAGAAAGAAGTTGAATGAAGATGTCTTAGAGTATCTTAATATTTGCTTTGATGGCTTGTGCCACTTTTGGTGTAAAAAATAGTAGCTCTAACTGTGTTACTAAGGATGCGTATGCATATAGACGACCCATCCCCCACTTCAACATGCAGTTTTGTTGGACTGCTTATTGAGGGTTTGCATTGACCTACAATACTGGGCAAATCTCAGAGACCGCTCTTCATTTATTTCATTTCCAGTTCTAATGGTTATTTTTTTCTGCAGTCTGAAAAAAACAGAAACCATAATTAACAGAAACTTACACTCAACAACTAAACATATTTTTCAGATTTTAGTAAAAGGCTTTGCCCTTAAAACAGCTTCTGTTCTTTTCGAATGACAAGCTTTAAGATTTTCAAAGAAATGTTCAGGTATTTTTTTTCTCTTACCCACTAGGGTGATCAGTCCATTGTTTTGAGAACACCAACAGCTTCTTTGTTTGATTTGCAATGTTTCCTAATTTCAGTAACAGCTTCTTTACAGCTAAAAATTCTTTTAGACCTATAGTGTTGAGTTGTCTTCACACAGTGGAAGGATGGACAGAAACAGATCTTTTTTCAGATCTGAAGCAAGAGTGGAGCTTGATTGTCTCCTCTCTCTCTCTCTCTCTCTCAAAGATGAAAGCTTTAAGTACTGTTTATCTGATGGTGACATTTTTGGTGGTATATCAGGCCTTGCGTGGTTGTTAGGAGTCCAGTTTTCTCTATATCTTTTCATAAGTTTTGGAAAGTCCTGTTTTACCGCTTTTTTCTTTGACTTTCAGCTTCCTTATGCAAGTGGATTAACTTATGTTTAATCTTTTCAGCAATATCCCCTGAAAAATGAATAACTTGTTCTTGGTGACTGGTTTGACTAGAAACTAAATGAACAAAGGGAGGCTGTCTCTGACATATGCACAGTACTGTATGTCATTATGTAGCTACATAACTTTAAACTGCAATGTGTATTTTAACATCAGTAACCAACAATAAATCTTTAAGATTTTTAATTGAAAGCTACGTTTTATTTTTAAGAAAGTTATTTTTTTCACCTGGAGAACCTTTGTGTTTATCATGTCAGGATCTTATTTTTTTCCTTGTGTTTGTGGGGATATGTTTGTCTTTTCATCTCTCCTTCTCACAGGCGAAACTGGAAGAGATGTTGTCTGTCTTTCAGTCTACCTTCACATGCAAATCACTCCCCCCACTCCTGTGTAGTGCTTTGCATTGTGTCATAACTCTTATCAGTGTGTATGTCTCTCTCTCTCTCTCTCTCTCTCTCTCTCTCTCTCTCTCTCTCTCACACACTCACACACTCACACACACACACACACACACACTCACACACTCACACACTCACACACACACACACACACACACACTCTCTTTCCCTCTCTTTCTCTCTTTTTCAGAGGGAAGTGAAGAGTGGAGGAGGCCAGTGCCCAGCTACACTCAGTCCAATAGCAGCAGCAGCGGTGGCGTTCGTGGAGGCAACAGCAGCGGTGGGGAGCTTCGCACCTGGAGTTCTCTGCCCAGAGACGACAGCCTCGAACCACTACCGTATAACTGGGAGATGGCCTACACTGAAACTGGCATGGTCTACTTCATCGAGTAAGTTTTCCTTTATGATGTCACCACAGAGTTCATTATGACATCCCCAGAGTATTCTTTATGATGTCACCACAGTTCTATTTTACTCCTTAATTGTTTGTCATTAGTTTATTACTTGCCTGTTATCCATATTTTAAGTCATATTTTGACTGCATTCATAAATCTCATTGTACTTAATTACTTCATAAGCTGATATTCTCAAGTGGCATACAACACGCATAACAATAAGTCTTTTGCTTTGTGCGCTGCTTTGCCCATTACAGCACACACAGGGGCTCTCTATTAAACCTCAGCCGCTTGGTTTGGTAACCAGCCCGATAGGCTGACATTTCATGCTAAGGTTTTTATTCTCATGTTAGGATAATAAACTTATCATTCAACTGTTATTTTCACCTTCATTTATTTACTGCCACCATAGTGCAGTACTGTTAAAGAGAATACAGAGTGTCTCAAATTGTCCCTTTGTTTCATATGTAGTAAACTCAGTGACGATTCAACCATTTTTAGTGTAATGGATTATTTGTGCTTTCATTACAGGACCATGTGTTGACAATGCTTTTAAAAATATAGGGAAGAACAATTACACTATATAGACAAAAGTACTGGGACACACCTCTTAATTGTTGAGTTCAGGTGTTTCAGCCACACCCATTGCTAAAATGGGGATAAAATTAAGCACATAGCCTTGCAGTCTCGATAGACAAACACTGACAGTAGGATGAGTCGTACTGATGAGCTCAGTGACTCAGTGAGGATGCCACCTCTGCCACAAGTCTGTTTGTGAAATTTCAGTCCTGCCAGATCTGCCCCTGTCAACAGTAAATGCTATTATTGTGAAACAGAAGCGCCTAGGAGCAACCACAGCTTAGCCATTAAGAGGTAGACCACGCAACCTCACAGAATGAGGTCACTGACTGCTGAAGCGCACAGTGCCTATCCTTTGTTGAATCACTCACTAAAGAGTTCTAAATTGCCTCTGGAAGCAACATCAGCAAAAGAACTACACGTTAGGAGTTTCACAAAATGGGTTTCCATGGCCGAGCAGCTACACACAAGTCTAAAATCAAAATGCACAATGCCAAATGGAGGTGGGGAGTGGTATAAAGCACGCCACCACTGGACTCTAGAGCAGTGGGAATGCATTCTGTGGAGTGATGAATCATGCTTCTCTACCTGGCAGTCTTATGGACCAGTCTGGGTTTGGCAAGTGCCAGGAGAACATTACCTGCCTGACTGCATTGTGCCAAATGTAATGTTTGGTGGCGGAGGGATAATGCTGTGAGCTTGTTTTCCAGGGGTTGGCCTAGACCCCTTAGTGAAGGGAAATCTTAATGTTTCAGCATACCAAGACATTTTGGACAATTGTATGCTTTCAGCTTTGCGGGAACAGTTTGAGGAAGGCCCTTCTTTGTTCCACAATGACTGTGCTCCAGTGCACAAAGCAGTATCCATAAAGGCATGGCTGGGTGAGTTTGGTGTGGAAGAACTTGACTGGCCTGCACAGAACACTGACCTCAACCCCATCAAACACCTCTGGGATGAACTACAACGGAGGTTGCCAGCTGGTCCTCTTGTCCAACATCAGTTTTTGACCTCACAAGTGCTCTTCTGGATGAGTGGGCAAAATTCCCACAGACACACTCCAAAATCTTGTAAAAAGCTTTTCCAGAAGAGTGGAAGCTGTTATAGCTGCAAAGGGGTAACAGCTCCATATTATTGTCTGCAGGTGTAATGTGTAGGTGTCCCAATACTTTTGTCCATATAGTGTGTGTACTGTATGCCAGAATGCATCCCAGAAGTTATCACCAGTACTAGTAAGCATCCTACATTTTGAAGGTTCTAAATGTTGATATGAGTAATCTGATAGCAGCATATGTTAGATGTTGTTTGCCAGTCAGTTAACAGCTGGCAGCTGTGTAGTTTGTTTACATATGTCGTGTGTGTCTTCATGACGATTTGAGTGCCCCAGTCTTCTAGTTACTCTTGTCTTGCCTACTCAGGTCAAGCACTTTCATTCTTTCATTCAGAGTCACTGATTGCACTTTTAAAATGTAGCACATGGCGTTATTTCAATAAATTTTAACTTTTGGCATCACAAGTAAAAAAAAAAGCATTCATTTAAGTCAGAGGCCAAAAGGCATGCAAAACACTGCATGCATTTACATCAACAGCAGCACACCCATTACTAGCAAAAATCATTTTAAGGGAGTAATTCATTTGAAGTGTTTACATGCATAGCAATACTGTGTTTATGCAACATCTACCTTCCATGTTAAGTAGTTTGGTTTCTCTCTGTACAGGCCTTTTATTTGTGGCATGGCTGTTGGTATCTCCAAAATGGTAACTTTGCAGGAAAAAGGAAAAAACCTTCTTACCTTTTAACATTTATTGTACAGAAATTTTATTCTAAGTGATTTAAACTGTTTCGATAGATCCATTCATCATGAAATTTTTCTACAGTGTAAAGGACATTTGACATTTTCAAATTATGTCAAAAAATTTAAACAGTATAAATGGAGATACAGGATTTTGTTCTGAGAGCAACAATATACAGTATTTGTTTGCATTGGGATTAGTATACAGTATTTGTGTTTTATGTTGTGATTAGTTATAATGATTAGTTATCAAATAATTGTGCTTTACAGAAAGAATTTTTCTGAACATTCTGTATCCTGGAGGATTTGATATGTCAGTCCATACTAAAAATATAAGTGAAACACCAAGCAATGCTAACCACAGTGGTCCCATTCCTTGGTTGTTACTTAATGTGATACACTGGGTCTGTTCAGTGCAGTGTTTTATAGAGAACAGGGTTATTTTGTAAGAAATGTAAATGGTAATATGTGTTAGCTTTAGTAAGCAGCAAACTGCTGTTCTCCCCAGAAGCAAAGGAGACTGTGGTAGGTCACATCCTGTTTTAGCCAGCGTCTGTGGTTTCAGAGACAGCGGAAGTTCCATTATTTAGTTAGTGCTTTGGCTTTCTTTTTTTGGAACCTTGTCTTGGCTGAGAACAGAAGACAGCAGCAGAGTAGCAGTCATAGAGCAGAAGTAAATATAGCTCACACTGTGGCCTAGATGCTCTTTAAAGAACTGTGAGTCAAGTCGTGTGTGTGTGTGTGTGTGTGTGTGTGTGTGTGTGTGTTTGTGCGTATGTTCATGTGCATGTTCATAAATATTTCACTGTTTCCAACTTATTCCCAAGTTATCAGTCACATTAATACTGGACAGATGCATTAGCACAATTTCACCTAAACGCATGGGTCTTTATAGGTGTAAACAAATTGTTTTCTAATATAGAAAGCTGGAAATGTTTGACAATTTTGTAAATCAAAATAAATAACACTTTTTTGCCAATTGCAAAAATATTAGTATTAATATTAATTAATTAATATTAATATAAGTACAAGTACAGTTTCCTGCATAATTCTGCACTTGCTGCATAGCCGATATAAACAGAAGTAGCCATTTGCATGAGAGCTTTGCATGATTGACAGTAGAATGACATCATTCTCTGAGATATTACATTAGCTTCATTGATCACGTATCTGGAGAAGTTGATGGTCTTACACCATATATTTAAATAAAGTTAAGTGTGCAGCACATTAGGGCATATATTTACTTTAAAGGGGACCTATTATGCTAATTTTCCGTGATCATTATTTTATTTTTGGTGTCTACTAGAATAGATTTACATGCTTCAGTTTTTCAAAAGCACATTATTTTTCTCATACTCTCTATTTACCCTCTGTCTGAAAAAGTAATAGTTAGAGCTCATGTGTCTTTAAACCCCATTCCTGATGAACCCAGTGTGCTCTGATTGGTCAGCTTGCTCAGTCTGTTCTGATTGGTCCACCGTTAGAGCAGCATCCTGCTGCAAGTACACACCCCTACATCAGGGGTAAACAACCCAAATGTTAAGAAAAGCCATTTTGTCCTTTCAACAAAGATCAAACCAACTTGGGAGCCACAACATTTGATGCCCATTTTACCATCTTGGCTGTATGTCTCAGTATGTGCTGATGTCCTAGTATAAGCTAAAAAATATAATATTAACGAAAACTCAGACTTACTTTGTTCTGCTTGAAGGTTTAGCACCACTATGGCCGCTTTTCTCGTATCTTCGGCAGGAAACTTTTCCACAAAAGCAAAAGTTTTCTAATAAAATGTCTCTCCACGTTTAGCTTTTTATGAGGCTGCAGTCAGCTATTCATTTGCCAGCTTCTTGTTTGAATTTTCCCGTTCCACCTTAAATGTTTAACAGTTTCTCGTTGCAGATTAAACATATCAGGAAACCAGCTGCTGTGATTATAAATGCAAATAAGTCTGTTTGTCTCCAAATTATTCATGTTCATATTAAATCTTTCTCTTTGCCGTTTCGTTAGCTACTAGCTAGGGGCATTGCTATGGTGACCAGCAGTCTGCGAGCCAGTCTTCAGGGTTAAAGGTTGGTGGATTAGCAGATGTACACTACATAAACTCCAGCATTTAAGACCATTTATTGTTAAAACTGTTAGAGCAGTCAGCAGAGCTTTATTTTACTGCAAAGGAGGATTTTTTTAATGTTATTCTGCTGTAGAGCCACAACAGAGCATTAAAATAGCCACATGTTGCTGACTCCTACCCTACACCAGTGTGGCTATTCTTACATTGGCAATGGTTCTGCTGTATCATTTGAGCCAGAATCTGATCCTGAAAGCCAGATAGAACAAGCTGGTAGACCCGATCCACCTTAACAAGCTAGACTGGAGCAGGACCCTTCAGAGTGGTAAGTTTTTACTTTGTAGCTCTTTTGCGTGAGGGTGTGCCAAGCTGGTCAGTAGGTCGGCAGTTTCTGTTACGGGATTATGTCATCTTGTAACAAAGAAAAGGGGCTAGAATTCCAATGAGGCATTTTGGGCAGCTGAGAAAAGTGGTTTCTTTGGGAGAGAGTTACTTACTCTAGTGTGTACTTTGGACTTTGTGATTTTGCAGACTGTTTACATGCACAAAAAGCTACATATTAGCCATAGCTATATACAAACTAAAGAAAAGGGAAAAACTGGAAAAGCATAAAAAGTTCCCTTTAATGCTCAGCTATTGAAACAATTTAAAAATAAAATAGATTGTTATAATTTGTCTCCGCCCAATGACAGCTGGGATAGGCTCCAGCACCCCACCGCGACCCAGAAGGTTAAGCGGTTTAGATGATGTATGTATGTATGTATTTTGTCTCTATATTCAAAATATAAATAGAAAATGTTTGCTGCAGGAACAGCCTCTATTCTTCTGAAAAGGCTCTACACTAGATGTTGGAATGTTGCTGTAAGGATTTGACAGCATTCAGCAACAAGAGCATTAGTGAGGTCACTGATGTTGAATGATTAGTTCTGGATCACAAACACCACTCCACCTAGTCCGAAAGGTACTGGATGGAGCTCCAGAGAGCACAGTTCCACTGCTCAACAGCCCAGTGTTGAGTGTGTTTATATCCCTCTAGCCAAAACTTGACACTGGCTCATGTGCGGCTGCTCCAGACCATCTCATTCTATTGGTCAGTGCTTTTCTTTGGAATCTATACAAATCTATATGTGTACGCTGTTGAACACCGGTATCCGCAATGCGTGTACCTTGAAGTAGCTGAATTCACTAATTAGATGGGGTGTCAAAATATTTTTGGACATATTGTGTATTTGTAATATATTGAGCATAGCGTTAGTTCAGGCAGGCCAAGTCAAACTCAGACCCCAATCTTAAGCTGTTATTTCATAACTCAGCTAACCTGTCCATTCTCGCCTCTTCCTCTGCAAGCCACTTCGCCGCCTCCACCTCAATTCCTCCATCACACTGTATTTGTCTTAATCAGTGTCATGTTTGTTGTCATTAGGCACATTTACATGCAGCCTAATAATCTGTTAATAATCAGACCAGTAGCTCGATCAGAATAGTATACGTCCATGTATACAGCTCAGTCAGAATAGACTTGTCCGATTGAGGCCATTCCGAATACAATTTCTATGCGATTGAATGAGGTGGGCAATCCTGTGAATAATCTGTTAAATAGAAGAATAACAGCCATGTAAACGCCTGTATCTGATTATATTCCCAATTAGAAAGTTTAAGTATGTTCTGCGCCTTTGCATTTGGGCCATAACAGAAGTTGATAATGTTCAACATGCCGGGAGCAGAAACTGGTCTGCGGAGGAGACAAAGTTTATGCTTCAAATTTTAAAAGACTTAAAAATAGTTGGCAGGATGGCTGTAAAGCTCACAATAACAAGCTGTTCAGACAAGGATATGAGCAGATAGACAAAAGTGGCTTTACACAAACCATAGAGCAAATTAAAACGCCAACTGAAACTCAGGTAACACACTGCTGCTTGTCTCTGACTGGACTTACGTAATGCTTGTTGTCATGGTAATATCTACACTAAGTGGTACTCTATGTATGCACTTAATTTTGGATCTGATTACTTTGTTGTGTGCATGTAAACACCTCAGTGTCGATCTGTGACTGGAATGTATTCAATCGGATTGCCGAATATGTTTACATACATTCACAGCCATTGATGCCTGCTCTGTTCTGTACCCTAGAGATGGTCTTTCTGCTGAAATTAATTTTTTGTACAAACAATCATTTAGATTGAAGTGTCTGTCTTTTTTTCTCTTTGTTTAACAGTCATAACACCAAGTCTACCACATGGCTGGACCCTCGTCTTGCCAAGAAAGCCAAACCTCCTGAAAAGTGTGAGGATGGAGGTAAATGTCTCTCTATTTGTATCTGTCTCTCACTCACATGCAGACACATGCATAGACCAGACCAAAAAAAATACAATGAATGTTTCTTTATCACTGCTACAATTTTTTTACTTTCAGACTGAGCCTTTTTAAGGTTTAAAAAATAGGAATCTATATTTATACTTTATTTATTTATATGTTTATACAGAATTTCTTCATCCTTTACAGGCCTGGGCGATATCTAAAAATAACCGGCATGATATTTTCTAGTTAAAAAATTGCGATTATCAGTGATATTCCCCCGCCCCAAAACAATTACACACAGTCCACGGCAGCTTTGACCTACTTTGTATTCTATTTTAGTTTATATTAACTGTTTTAATGAAAATTTTTACTAAAACTCCTAAATTAAATAATATGATACTGAGTAGCCCAGCATCTTGTAAGAACTGCTTCACCTGTTGTTATAATAAACATTACTACATGTATATTCATGAGCTTCTTCTGCTGCAGAATCGTGGTGCCTTGCATGCTAATAGCGCTCCCTACTGGAGAAACTTCAGACCGTGGTTTCCAGTGCTGTGCCCATGCGCTTTCCTCACTAAAAACAAGGCGTTTTCCGTTGTTACAGCACAGTTTTCATAACTCAGCTAACCACCGGCACATTTAATCTGTAAAACTTCACATTTTACACCGGCTATGAACGAGGAACAGAGGCCTTTCTCTCCAGGTTAGAGTTAGCTGCTTTATGCTAACGTACAGTCATTTTAGCTAATGTTTTTACTTCAGCGAGTCATTTTGGGGCAAGCTAAAGTTCCAGCACATCGCTGTTCATTTTCGATTCCATTCAAGTAAAGTAAATTAAGGGGAATCTGTGCAGTGAAGCTAGCATGACAGTGTGTAGCAAAGAGAGAGAATACAGGCAGTTTCTTAAGAAACCTCTCTCTATTTCCCTGTCTCTCTCTCTTTCTCTCCTTTAGAATCTGGCTACAGTCCACATACTTCTTAAATGTGATCCCCATTTTCCCAACGTATTTTGTAAGCTGTTTAATATGAAATTAATCTCCTCAAATTCTCCTTCAGTTCTTTTACCAAAACTGTGCCTTTACACATCGCCATCGGGTTACGTGTCCATCATCAGCGATATTTGATTACATAGCCCTCTCACCCAGGCCAAATCCTTCTTATTCGTGTCTCCGTCTTTGCTTTTAAGGTTGTTGATTTTGATATTTTTTTATTATATAATGAAAACCTTTTAACTAATTTAACTCTAAGAGTCTGAATCTTTCTAAACTTCATGCTATAGCGTTTTTGCCTTTTATCTGTGTTTTTAATCTAATTAATTTTTTTCATTGTCCAGAATGTCTTTCATTCATTCATTTATTTATTTAATTTATAAATGAAGAATTTTCTCTTTTTTTCTGTTTTCTTCTTTCCTTCTTTTTTGCTTTCTTGCTTTCATTGATTTATTCTGTGGAAGCTTACAAGACTATTATTTTCTAGTCTGGAAGCACTAAATTTCCTTCAGAACATGCATATATAGGTTTTTATCTTGCTCACTTCTTGTTCACAGAATTTATAACAAAAATAAATAAATATATATATCGGCAAGTGGTTTGTAATAATTAAATATGCACTCTATAAGTTATTATTGAATTTAAAATATTCAATAATAACTTCCAAACTTTTGAATAATGTAGATGTACTTAAAGTATATAAACATATTTCATCAGCAAAAAACACATAAGTACTTTCACTTCAGTAACTTTTAACGTGTCACTTTTTTTGTGAAGCAATGGGAGTGTACCTCTCTTCACCAAACAACAGGATGATGCACTCGCATGCTCAGCAGACTGAACTCCAGCATGGATTTCATAACACGCATGCACTCAGCACACAGCCACGTCCTCTTGCACTCAGCAATTCACTTCATCAGCATGAACACACCCACACACACGTTCAGATGTCCGTGTAAATGTGTGCGTGTGTGTGCGTGTGTGCGCGCGCGTGTGTGCGCGCGTGTGTGTGTGTGTGTGTGTGTGTGTTTGTGTGTATGTCCTTGTGCTCTTTTGTGTATGTGTGTCTGTTTTAATGGAAGTTCAAAGGCATGTGGAATGTTCACTGGTGTACAGTCCCTATTAACTCTGTAAGGTTTTGTTTTTGTGTGTGTGTGTGTGTGTGTGAGTGTGTGTGTGTGTGTGTGTGTGTGTAAGAAAGAGAGTTTAAAGCGCTGTCTAGCATGAATAGATCCTTTTTTTCCTCATTAGTTCATCAAGGCATAACATGCGCACAGCAGAGCACACACGCACTCACACGTTCATTTTTTTTTCTATAGAAGAATTCAGACATATTTTCGTGGATGTGAAAAGTGGGGGCTATGAGGGGCTGAAGCACCCAGATTTTGTAATTTTTTGAAACCGCAACTGCTAAAAAATAAAAACAAATATGATAATAGTGAAGACTTTGGTTTTGGCTTAGTTTTGGGTGCAGTTATTTATTTATTTATTTATGTATTTTTTAATTCATTTTCATTTTATCTTTTGTTTATACAGTAAAGTGCAAAAGAGACCACCCTTAATTTTGTTAATTTCCAGTCAAAACAGCCATTAGGAAAATATATAAGATAAAGGGCTTGCATAAGGGAAGTGAGAAAACAGTTTCCACAACTGGAGTTCAAAACATTAATAGAAGATACAGAGAGAAACAGTCATGCAAGATCTGGTAGACCACCAGCACTGTTACCATCAGATAAACAGTACGTAAAGCTTTCATCTTTGAGAGAGAGGAGAAAATCAAGCCGCATTCTTGGAGTGAGGAGTGAGCAGGGTGTACGTCAGTGGTTTGACATCTCTCATGAAATTATGGAACAGTAAGATATGATCTGCTTGGTGTAAATTTCAAAAATGAAAATGGCTTATTATTTTGCATAACGTCAATGTTTACACCACAGATACTGCTTAAAATTTCACCACCTCCAACTCAAAGCACCTTCACGTGTCCATGCGTCCCTGTTTATGAAACCTACAAAACCATAAAAGTTGTGTGGATGCACAGAGGCATATTTTTAAGGTTCTGACCGTGTGTGTGTATTTGCATGGGTGCGTGCTTGAACACAATGCATCTGTTCTACAGAGCTTCCATATGGCTGGGAGGAGATTGAAGACCCACAGTATGGCACATACTACGTAGAGTAAGTAGTACAACCCCCATCTTATCCTCTCTCTCTGTCTTTCACTCCCACACATACATACAGGCACCTTTTCATCTCTCTAGCAGTGATAACTATAATAGCATGAGGAACGTGTGATAATGAATGTTGATGGGTAAATAAATATTGAATATGCCATTCACTAGCAATAATAATAATAATAATAATAATAATAATAACAGAATACTCTCTTGCCTTTCTTTCATGTGCAGTCATATAAACCAAAGAACCCAGTTTGAGAATCCCGTTTTGGAGGCGAAGAGGAAACTTGGACAGGAGACTGCAATAGCAACTCAGAGCCAAAAGGGGGCAGCACCTCCTCCAGGTATCAACCCAATTCTTACACACACAGACCAGTATTTCCCAGCTCCAGTCAGAAGAACCACCTGCTGTATTCTCCTCTTGCGAATCATATCATTAGCAGATTAATCAGTCATTTTTCAGTTCAGTCAGGCATTTGAGTAGTAAAAGTGATCTACACTAGTCCTGAATTAAGTTTTGTTAGGTTCTGTGTTCTGTTCTTACTGATACCAAACATGATAAACTCACTACACAATGCTGAAATGCTTACTCTGTTCAATCCATACAGGTACAGTGTAAAACTTACAAATGATTGTAATAGGAAAGTAGCTACAAGGCGGCCTGGGGGGTTAGACTCTTTCACTTTTTTGTGGAAGTTTTTTGACCGTTCAAAAAAAAAAATAAAAGTTTCCTGACGCCCATAAAAATGTTCTTGTATCCCTGTGTCCATGCAGTCCTTGGTAACGGCGCAGTTTTGAACCAACTTAGCAGTGAAGCATGAGAAGACTTTTTTCAACAGTGACATATTAGCCTACTCAACTGTTTCTACAGATTATGGGAACTTGGCTGAGCTGTTCTGGTTCCTAATGGAGGCTAATTTTTAACTAGCTAGCGAGCTAGGCTAGTAGTAAAGTAGTAAACAAAGTGCTCTAGTTAATCAGCCAATAACTGTGGTGGTATGGTATGATCAGTTATAGTAACTAAGCTAAATGTGCGGTCAACAGCTGTGTGCTGTGTTTAAAGTTTCACATTTTTCTCTCTGGTTATGGTAGTACAATGAAACAGGCTAGTTGACAAGTTAGTGGTTATCAGCCTCACAACTACAATGTCACTATCCTAGCTGACCCGCTCAGCCTGTAACCCACCCCCCACCACCTTTTCAAAAATTTGAACGTTGAATCATATGATTAGTTAGCAAAAGCAAATACTTTTTTTGTAGTTTGTTTGTAGTCTTTTAAATTGAAGCCAGTTGCTAATTTATGTTTTCAGTGACAGGCAGACCAACTTGTATATATGTGTGTGTTGAGGGGGAGTGTGTGTGTGTGAAGATTAGAGAACACTCTGCTCTCCTCAAGAATCTAAATTAAAGATTATTGCATCAGAGTGGATACATTATAGATGTATATGTGCGTGTGTGAAAGAGCGAGAGATGTTTAGGAGTTAAAGAAGAATGGAATGAGTGGGAAGACAAGGGCAGCCCCCATGCAATCTGCGTCACTATTCCTCCTCCCTTTCCCACACAAAGCACTCACTCTTCCTTTTACACACTTTTTCAAGTTTATTCCTGCCTGTCGTTTCCGCTTGTCTGAAACATCGTCCACAGAGAGACAGAATTCTTACGCATCACACACAGTAACACAGACGAATCAGCTCAAACGCAGAGGGCAGGCCTTGTTCCTCATCCTTCAGAAGTTAATTGTGTTAAAAGGCCTGTGGTGACAGTATGGAGTCATAAAGAGTCAAATGGAGTCATTTCCGCTCCCTAGTAGGGAAAAAAAGGGGGATACAGACTTTCTGAGCTCCATTTAGAACATACGGTTTCCATGGCAATGCTAGAACAACGAATCCCAGCCTATTTCACAAATTAACACTGACTCAGCTGCCAGCATGTTAGCATTAGGGCTTAGACACACCAAGCCGTTGAGCAAGAACTAGCACCAAGACTGACTGAAGACCGGCTTCTGTCAGCTCCCTGTTGCCACTCGTCTCTTCTGAAAATATGTACTCGAACACACTGCAAAGAGATGCAGCTGATGACAGACAAGCACATACTTTATCAGTCTGTGCAAAAAGGAACAGCTCTTTGTAGCCAGAGCCGCCAGTGGTTTGTGTGTGAATGTAAACTATAAGGCTGTTGAGGTCATTACATTTTAGCTGATGATTAGTTATCATATAGCTGAGATTAACAGTTGAACTGTGTTCTTTATTGTTTGTGACTATTAATAATAAAAAAATAAATAGTTAATGTCGGTCAGTCGTGATGAAGCTACTTTTTTGGCATTGCTGTCTTTTGTGTCTCTCCTTGTGTGATGATTCTCAGCTCTCTGGGGGCGGACCGCCGATCCAACAGCTCAGTTGGACAAAATAAGAACTAACTACAGCCAACACCGCACACGCTATGGGCAAAGATCGGCCACCAGTGCTCACTGCAGGCCTGATGGCGTCTATTGGCTGGCATTCGGATTGGTGTGTCATGGCCCTTTTGTTTCTCTCCTTGTGTCCCAATTCGCAGCTCTCACTGCTGACCACTGATACTGATTCAAGATGCTCAATCAGCCAAAATAGCAAATGGACAATGGTATTTGGCCACTGACACTCACTAACAGCTTAACAGCGTCTGGCAGCATGGTCATTTTTTTATATTTTGGATCTTTCTGAGCTCCCTAGATATGGAGTGAATGGGAATGAAGTTGGCTTGGTGTGTCAGGGCCCTGTAGAAATTGTAGAAAGATCCTTTCAACATATTATCATTAGGCATACATAATATGCAGATGGACAGTATATCATTTGCTGATAAATGGGAGAATTTGGTTATTATTATTGGTGTGATGTTGGAATTATAGCTGATAATTACAATAGATAATTTACTGTCCCATTTTTAGCTCACATACACACTGTGTAGAATTAATAAATAACCCATATTTGGTGGTAACCTTACAGTATTTCAAGAATGTATTATAGTATGAACTTGTAGTAACTTGCAAAAAGTTATATAATTTAATAACAATAAAATAAAATTTAGAAATGTAATTGTCAGTTATTGGTATTGATATTAGCCACAACAAGGTCTTATTTATTGGTTATCATTATTGGTTCATTACCCTATTTCATATTGGTGTATCCCTATTACCAATCAACAGCTGTTATCAAAATAACCTGGACTGAAGGTCAGATAAGAAATGTGTTTGGCCAGTGAAGCTCTTGTTTTTTTTTTTAAATCATAGTCACACACATCTCTCTCAGTGCAGCTTGAGCGAAATGAAGAGAGCCAATGTGCTCATCTGCTGTTTCTTTAAACAGTGTTTTGACAGCTCTATCTTTCCTCAAAACTGTGGAGAGACCTACAACTACCATTAAAGCAGCACCAGTCTAGCGCACACGCACACACATATTTATACACTTCACTCAACTCTCTTAGCCCTAAGTCAGCCTCTCCAGTGTAAAAGCACATTAAATCGTCATCAGGCTTGCATTATTTTGTTCATTTTATGCGACTGCAATCTGTGGCACCATAACTAACCTCTCTTCCTTAGAAACAGGGACAGGCAGTAACTGAGTCAGTAATTAGCCCCCTGTTAGAGGGGTTTGTCTGTGTAATTCACTGAAGGTCAGCTGAAGCAGTTTAACTGTTGTTGATGTTTCGAGTTTTTTCAGCACAAGAAACGTGTCTGTGGCGTTAGAGGAATTATGGGATTTAGGGTGAGGCTTATATGTTTGGGTCTGCGTGGTTGGTGGTGATTTGTGTTCTCATTTGCCGTGTCATATTAAAATGGATTTGTTTATTACCCCAGCTGGATGAAATGCTTATTGTTTGTTTATGTGTCAGTCAAGTAAAAACAACAAGCCACCATAATTAGACAGGAGTCTATGAAGAATCTGACTCTTTGTCTCACTTGTCTCTGCCTCTTTCTCTATAAGTCTCTCTTACAGTTTGTAGCCTACAAAAGAAAAAAAAGTAATTGTTATCCTGTCAAAATCATCAACGCCAAAAACACAGCTAGTAGAAAACAGAAAGATGCACACATTATTCTCTCTCTCTCTCTCTCTCTCTCTCTCTCTCTCTCTCTCAACTGTGTGTTGCTCAACCATCTTACTTTCAACTTTTTCTTGTCTTTCAACTCTATCTCACTCAGCTCTCTCTCAAGCCTCTTTCTCTCTCTCACTCAACTCTCTTTCAACTATCTCTCTCTCAATACTTTTCTCTCACTCTCTCACTCAACTTTCTGTGTCCTTTAAATGTCTTTGTCTTTCGCCTCTCTATTTCTCTCTTGCTCAACTTTCTCTCTCAACTCTTTCTCTCTCGCTCATCTCTCTCTCTTTCTCTCCCGCTCAACTCTCTCTCTTTCCCTGTATCTCTCTCTCAACACTCTCTCTCTATCTCTCTTCCCTTCTCTCTTACTCAGCTCTCTCTCAACTCTCTTTTTATCTCCTATTCAACTCTCTTCCTTTCAACTATCTCTCTCTTGCTCAGTCTTGCTCCTTTTTTTTTTTTTAAAATCTAATTATACTCTTACAAGGGTGCCAGAGAGGATTCTTTGGGGCAGTGCCACAGAGTGTTTCAGTGTGTGGTCATTAAAAGAAATATTTGTGTGAAGACTCTTTTCTTTTTTTAATAAATGGACAATTTTTTTTCCTCTATCTCTCCCTTTTTCTAGGGGGTGATGGTGGTACCCCAGGCTTCACGCGAGACCCAACCCAGCTGAAGGGGGAGCTATACCACACAGCCCTGAGGAAGAGCACTCAAGGTTTTGGTTTCACCATCATTGGAGGGGACCGGCCCGATGAGTTTCTCCAAGTAAAGAATGTGCTGGCAGATGGACCGGCTGCTCACGACAATAAGATGGCCTCTGGTGAGTGGGAGCAACCTCTCACTGGATGAATGAAAGAGAGATGGCCTCAGTGCCACCCTGATGCCTCATCTATTTGTTTACTTTTATTAGAGGATCAGTACTAATAGCAGAACACAGAAGTTGATTCCCATTGCAGCACTTGGATTAAGAGCCTCTACTTCACTGGCTGGTGTTAAGGTTTTAGCGCAGGGCATCTAAAGCAGCGGGGAGAGTTTATTTTCAGACAAGCCATGCTGTACTCTCCATGGCATACTTGAAGTGTGCAAGGCTTAAGCAAATGGAGGGCATCCAGAATTTTGTATTACTTTGATGCTAACATGTTCTTACAAGACAGAAAAATGCCAGATGACATCAGAAAGTGCCAGGCTCTTTAAATATGCACTGCCTTCCTTTTAAATTTGAATTTAAAAGGATCAGAGTAGAAAACATACATGCTCAGATTTTGTTAACATAAAGCTGTTATTTACTAATCCTTTGGGTATATTTTACATTGTGTTCATCAAAGTGTCTTGGTATAAAGAGTGTTTTGTCTTAAATAATGATTTAGACAATAACAGTTTTACTGTTGTTAAAAAGCACATATTGAAAATCTTGTGGCTCAAAGGTGGTTTAAACACTAGACAATGTTGTCCCTAATAATACCTGTTTAATCCTTATTATATTAAAGCAATGGTTTGGTCAAAAATCAAACACATAAATTTGCTCTTATATCAAACTGATCAGCCACAACATGTTTGGTGATTTAGGCATGCGGTTTGCACAGTACTAAACTAGTGGCTGTAAGTTTTTATAACTTTTTAAATATGTTATCCTTATAGCTTCAGTGCAAAACTAAAGTAGCTTAACTTTGGAACCCTTGTCTGGCGCTTTAGCTACATATGAGGTAAGGTGAAAATCTGTAAATTTGATTTTCTGCTACATCACAACTTAAAGCAAACTGATCAAAAAACATACCTAACCCCTTGAAAAGCCATGGGCCCAAACTTTTATTACACACTTCTATAACCTAATAGCTCCATTAGTTTGCATTGAAGTCCCTGTTGTTACTGAATAATACGCCTTTGTGTGAAATGAACACAAGGAGTTAAGTGTATTTACTCATTTTGAAAAGCAAAGTGTCCTCACTCTTTTTTTGTAAAAGGCCTTTTTTTCTAAAATACTTCCCTTCTTCTCCCCCTCTATCACATTCCTAGGCGATGTGATCGTGGAGATCAACGGCAACCTGGTCCTGGGTAAGACCCACGCTGACGTAGTGCAGATGTTCCAGTGCATACCCATCAACCAATATGTGGACATGGTTCTGTGCCGCGGTTACTCGCTGCCCCCTGATGTTGAAGCGGACAGTGAGGATCTTCCTCCCCCTCCCCCTCCTCCTCCCCCCACAGTAGGTGAGGTGGTGACAGCCGTACCGCTCATTAATGGTCAGCCACTGCTAGTGAAGGGCGAGGCACTGCACGGCTCATCTCAGGAGCTCCACTACGTCACCACAGACTCCAGTGGCCGGCCTGTTGTGGCCGCACTGCCTGGGGGGGGCAGTGAGAGGCCAGAGGGTGGCATGCTGCAGCCAGAGCTTGTAAGTGTCCCCCTGGTGAAAGGCCCTGGTGGATTCGGCTTTGCCATCGCAGACTGCCCACTGGGTCAGAAAGTAAAGATGATTCTGGATGCACAGTGGTGCCGTGGCCTTCTGAAGGGAGATGTCATCAAAGAGATCAACCGGCAGAACGTACAAACGCTGAGCCATGCACAGGTGGTGGACATACTGAAGGAGCTGCCTGTGGGGAGCGAGGTCAACCTGCTGGTGTTGAGAGGAGGTGAGAAAGAGAGAATAAGAAGGCTGGGCAATATCTAAACATCACAACACGTGACCACACATTTGTGCATTACATGCATTAGTAAAGTACACCTGCCGGTGTGGGTTCATGCTAGTTTCGTCTCTTTCAGTGATACACGCAAAACTACTTGAATCCTAATAACTCCTCCTGTGGTGAATCTTTTGCTTAACCTGAGTAAGTGAGTGAGTGAATGAATGACTAAGTTACCAATGGGAGGAATAGAGAGGGAAGTGAAAGGGAAGGATGCATAAGAAATCAAAGAGGGAAAGAAAAGGAACGAAAAAGAGAAGAAGACAAAGATATTTTCCAAAGTAACATAAGCAACATAATGTAATGTAAAACAGTTATGCTCAGGCATTTTGTAGTATGTATACATATATAGGGTGGGATAGTCTGTTCTATTGATTCTTCATAAAGTCACTGCACCTGTCCAGTGTGTATTAGGACTGAAAAATTGATGTTCCTCTTCAATTACATATAATTGATGGATAATAGGAGTTGTCAGGAGGATGGAGAGTTAGGGAAAGAGAGATAAAGAAGGACTGAGGGAAGGAAGAGAATGGAAGGGTTGAAGAAAGAGAAATTCTGTTGTATTGTGGCATAAGGGATGCAATTTCATGTAAAGATAACATCAAAAAAGTGTGAATGTGGCCTTTAGATGTTATATCCTAGGAATCCTTCAAAACATGATCTCACCTGCACAGTGTGTACTGTTATTGAAAAAGTTGGCGTTCCTCAAATGTTTTTCTAAATGCTTCTCCCTCTATTGTGAAATGCGATTTCCTTTCTCTTATATCGACAAATGCCTGGGTTGAACTCTGGGTTGTTTTGTATGAGGGTTTTGCTCTTTCTGGTTATGAGAAGGCTTTTTCCAAGACATGTTAAACACTGTCTTACAGCAGACGGTTACACAAACCACTAGACTTCTGTTTATGGTGCAAGCCACCTTTTAACAAGTCCTCATTTTTCTACTCCATAAAAACTACACTGCTGCAGTGCGCTGTGTGACCATGCAGATGACTGACAGGCCAGCATGCTGCGTAGCAACAAGGGAGAAAGGGATTGTGCTGGCCTTCGCTTCTAATGGGAACTCAGCCAGTCATGTCCTCGGGGACACCAAGCCAGGGGCGGCACATAGCACAGCTGGGACTTGAACCTAAATCCCAGCTGTAGGATGCACCACTGCACCGCTAACCAGCTTTTACTGGGTGTTCCCTCAGGGGGATCCGTATTATCTTTAGCCACTTGCGAGACTCAGCGCATGTGCTTTGATCAGTAGAGGATTACAGCAAGTCCATGAGAACAGCTCATAGTGGGCTAATTGGGTTCAGGAGAGAGAGAGAGAGAGAGAGAGAAAGCAGGAGATAGAGAAAGGGAGAGAGAGAGAGAGAGAAAGAAAGCGGGAGATAGAGAAAGGGAGAGACAGAAAGAAGGAGAGAATGAGAGAGGGAGAGTGAGAGAAAGAGAGAGACAGAAAGGTAGAGGGAGAATGAAAGTAAGGGAGAGCGAAAGGAAGAGATAGAGAGAGGGAGAAACAAAAAAAGGAGAGTGAAAGAGAGGGAGAGTGAGAAAGAAAAAATGAGATACAGAAAGAGACGTAAAGGAAATGTGTGAAAGAAAGAGAAAAGACGTGTGAGAGAGAAAAGTAGAGTGAGAAAGGAAGAAAAGGGAAGAGAGGGAAAGAGAGAAAGAAAAACAGAAAGGGAGAGAGAGAAAAGAAGTGTGATAGAAAGAGAGTAAGTATAAAGGGGAGCGAGAGGTAGAGAAAGGGAGAGAGCAGGAAGGAGAAAGAGAAAGAAAGGGACAGTGAGAAACAGGGCCAAAAAGGAAAGAGGGAACATGGCAGAGAGAAAAAGAAGAGAGAAGAGCAGAAAAAGAAGAAAGTTTGTTCATTCAAGTGTGCTCCATCTACTCTTGAGTGACAGTCACCCCAATCAGGCTGGGGGATCGTGGTGGGGTTGGGTTGGGTACTGTGTGGGTGTTGTGTTGACAGATGGAAGCGTGACTTGGTCATTAGGATTTTATGCATGGCTCTGCTCTCTCTGGAGCCTTCCTACACCCCCTCTCTCCATCTCCCTCTCCCTTTTATGTACATTTCTTCTATCCATCTTTAATATCTCTTAGATGATGCATGCCTTTCAACTCTGCCCTCTCAGATCTCTGCCCAATCTTCTCTCCCGTTTGTTTCAGCACGAGTGAAGGCCTCACAGTTCTTGACAATAACAAGTGTTAATGTGAGATTAAACAATGTATTTTCAACGTTATTCTGAGAGTTATTTTCTTTTTGTTCTAATGACAGAAGCATGATAGGCTCTGTCATTTTTTGTTCATTTTTTCAACTCCGTCTTCCTCTCATTTCTGCCTTTAGGTCAGACTTCGCCAGTAAAGAGTCTAAGACCTGTGAGTATGAAAATCGTTTTGGATTGCAAGGCTTTTGTTGTCAACATGCAGTAGGTCTCTTTAGACTAAGATTCTTTAGAAACAATGATCAAACTTCTCAAATACCAGTGTTGATGTGGGATCAGCTTAGACCTTTCATATAACACTGAATACAGTTACATAAACTGTTGAAAGACCTGATCTTCGATCAGTGTTCTTAAACTGAGATGCTTGATAAATAAGGGCCAGTAAGAGCATAGCTGAAGAAGTCACAAGTGGAGGCAAAATTTACAAATACAAAGCAAAAGTGCATTAAGTTCAGCTACTGATATATCTGCCCTCTTTAAAGAAAGAGTTTGTCTGTACTGAATTAAATTGTTTTGTTCCAGTAGTGTCATTGAAGAAGTGCGCTTTATTTCCCATAACAGTGCATTCTCCCCATGTGCTCTACAGAGACAGGAAATGAGTGCCAGTCTGGAGACTCTGGACCGTTGCCATGACGTCGGAGCCCCCCAGGCACTCACCTATTACTCCAGCACATTGCCCTGTAGCTCACCCCGGCGAGACCCCACCCTCCACCACGCCAAACCAAAAGCCACAGTGGACAGCACTTGTAAGTCTGGAGGACACATTATGTTTATATGTACAAGTCTAATTAAGACCATTAGTTTACCTAAGATCATGTAAACACTTTGGTTGTCATGGTCTGACTGACATGGTCTTAGACTAACTAACCTTAACACAGTTAAAACATGTTTCAGGCCTGACTATTCAAGATAGATTAGCATATGCAAACACTAATATCACTCAACTCTGATGCTGGCAAAATTTTGCGGCGTACGTATGATGGCACACTATATGTCCTATAAAAGTATCCAGACCATGCCCAATGTCAAGCGTCTGCTAGAGGAATATAAGCCCCTCGGCTTTGGGCTGTAGAGCAGTGGAACTGTGTTCTCTGGAGTGATAGAGCTCTGTCAAGTACCTTTGGGATGAGTCGGAGTGACGTTTGTGATCCAGAATTAATCATTCAGAATCAGTACTTGACCTCAATAATGCTTTTGTGGCTAAATGCAATGAAATCCTCACAGCAATGTTACAACACCTAGTGTATAACCCTCCCAGAAGAGTAGAGGCTGTTACTGCAGCAAAGGGTGGAAAAACTGCCTATTAATACCTTTGATTTTGAAAGAAAAGTTAGTAGGTCTGTGATACCAAAACAAATATGAGTGGCAAAAGGGCTTGCACATGTGGAGGAAGAGATGTTCCTTATGTTAAACAGTTGGGAACTGATGTCGTGATATTTAGCTGAAAGAATATAAAGGAATGCAAATATTTTCAAATGGCAGGGAAGTTACAGAGGCCCCAAAAAGTATGTGGACATTTGTATTGTACTTAAAAATGTAGCAAGTTCCTTGTTTCAGGAAACCAAATGCTATTTTAAACAGACCATTCCAATACCTTTCAAAAGGTTGCTGATGTGCTCCAGATCATTATCGTTTGAGCAGTTTTTTTCTCAAACTTGCACTTAAAATGACTCTGCACACTTCTGAGTTCATGATCTCATCAATAAACACAAGCTCACTGACAGCACTGTAAGAATAACAGCCCCACCTCTGTACCTTACAGTACACTTACTGCAGGTGGTTGCAAATTTTTCTTCTGGCCTTTTCCACACAAAAGAGTCCACCATCTGTTTGATGTTGTGCTAAGTGTTTGTCTGAAGCAATTGTCGTTGTTAAACATTTTATAAAGCAATCTAAATAACTTCTTTAAAGTTTATGAATGGTTGAAGTGTCTAAACACTTTTTAGGGCCTCTGTATATGTGTATAAATGTAGGTGCATCATGATAGGGTCGTTTCGTGTTGAACAGACTATGTTGGCATGCATGTAAACAGGACTATAAATTTGTACACTTAATGGTTCATTTTTTTCAACTAACTAAGACCTTCTTAAGGCTGTTGTGTGCATATAAATGTTGTAACCATGGCGCTACAAAAACAGTTGAGTAGCCTGAGTAGATGCAGGAAATATATAGATGAGCTGAGGGACCAAATTTGTGTTTGTAAACAAGCCCTTGTCCGTGCCCTGTTGCATTATTTCAGAAAGTCTCAGTTCAGTGGTTCCATTAATCATTTTTCAGAGAGATAGAACATAAATCACCACCCTTCTCCTTCATGATTTGGACAGTTCACTTCACAGCATGACCTAAAGTACTGAAAGAATGAGAATAGCTTAGTAAACGAGGGAGAGACGATAACAGAGTCAGGCAGAATACTGCACACTCATCTGAGACATCATAGCTGCAAAACATTGGGATTATTATTGTATATAATACATAATGTGTGACAAAAAGTAGCTAAAGAGCAGGTAATTTTAGGTTTATGTATATATACTGATTTAACATAAGTATCTCATTAAAGTAGAATATCATTTGAATATCTCTAAAGGTCAACAGCAGTTACACAAATCTTTATTCTGCCTATAAATGTGAAATGAACCCTGTAGCTCTGGGCACCTTCTGTTGCAATCACATGAAACAGTTTTAGCAGTGCATGGCTGTATAGTCATGTGCAAGCGTTTGATCACCTCCGGTCAAATTTCATTTTGTTGATTTTCTAGGCGAAAATAAGTTAACAAATCCTCTACAAGGAACACATGTTTAACATTTCAGGAAAAAAAACACATGAAATATAAAATGCAGTTTTGCACAGGCAACATTTTTCCCCAATATGTTAAATTCAGAAAATAAACAGTAATTGTGCATTAAAATGTGCAGAAATTTGTTCTCTGTAAAGAATATTATTTTTACTTAGAAAATCAACAAAATGTAGTATGTAAATGTAGATCTCATTCAAAGAAGATTAGTAACACTTTAATTAGTTACTTTAATACAAAGAAAGTCATTTTATTGACTTAAGCCAAACAGCTTGGTTTCCTATATGCATATAAAGTCACATAAATGGTTCTGTTTCTCTACAGTGCCTCAATATAAAGAGCTGGATGTGTTTATAAAGAGAGATCAGGAGACAGGATTTGGCTTCCGTGTACTTGGCGGGGAAGGACCTGAACAGCCAGTGAGTCCCAGTTTCTGGTCACTTGCCTTTGACCTTACACTAAAGACTTAATGTCATTTTGCTAATTCGTAGACCTTCAATATAGTTTGTCCCACATGCTGGATTGCATTTAAATGTAAATCCATAAAGCAGCTGTCTTTCTGAATTCCATGCCTCCCGGTGCATGCTCCCTGTTCCTGCAGGTATACATAGGTGCCATAATACCGCACGGAGCAGCGGAGAAAGACGGCCGTTTGTGGGCAGGAGATGAGCTGATGGGCATCGATGGCATAACTGTGAAGGGGAAATCCCACAAGCAAGTGCTGGATTTAATGACCAATGCCGCCCGCAATGGACAGGTCTTACTGTCTGTACGGAGAAAGGTCATCTACAGGGGTGAGCTTTGGACTTGAGAGTGAATACCTATGCACCCGTACCTCCCCAGTTACACCTAGTCTCGAGTATCAGGATTGTATCTACATAGTAATTATCCGCATAAAAATTGCAGGTGTAAGATGCGTTTAAAACAGATTTAAATCTGATCACTCAAACCACTTCATATGGTGGTCTAGCAAGATTTTTTTTACATTTGTAAATGCATCCATCTCTTCAAGGCACATTCAACAACCAAAACTCCTCCCAAAAGCTTAGGGGCAGGGGCAAAAATTGTTTTCAGGTATGCTAAAATGCTGAAGGGGGTGCTATACCTTTGGCTGTTGCAGTGGCAGTATGTGAACAGGGAGGTGGGGGAGTGGGAGGGTAACAGTCACTGACCCATAGCTACACAGTGAAATCAGTGCAGAGAAGATTTAATATTAAAGTTCAGTTTTCGAGCACACGGCTTGCTGACACCAGTGTTTTAACTCGACCTTACGCCTACTTTGTTTTGTGCAAACCAGTTCAACTTTTTCTTTAGTTTGATAGATTCTGTTCTTGGGTGTGCACTAAACAAATGAACCGTGGTCCTGCAAAAGTCAATGTCTCCGCTTCCAAGTCAACTATAGTTCAGTTCTCTGCTGACAAAACACCTTTTTATGATGATCCACCCCAAATGAGGAAGTTAAACATGAGAACACGCATTTCTCAACATCAGTGCATATCAGCAGTTCATTGTCTACATCAAGGGTGCACAACTCTGGTCCTAGAGGGCCTCCTTAACATTTGACTCTTTTCAGAGGCTTCTATTGTTCTTGCAGCTCAAGTTGCTCCCAGTAGTGGCAGACAAGCAATAACAAGACATTTTGTCACATAGACCACAGAACTTATTTTCTGTAGGTTGGACCACACATCAGCCCAGCAGATGTCAAGAATATAATACGTATTAAGTATATAAATGAGGGATAGATTTGAGTTTTATTGAACATTTTTCATGGGTTGCTACTCATTTTCATGGGTTGCTTGCACCCCCTTAGCACTGCACCTGCAAATATTGTGACAGCATTTCCCTCTGCTGTTCTGAATATAGGGTGAAAAATGCCCGCTTTACTGCCACCACTAAACAGAGGCATTGCTGCTCCTTAATGAGAGTTTATCTTCTAGGTTTAATTTATTAGCTAGAGCTACTTAAAATAAAGTACCAGTTTGGTTGATTTTTATTTTACCTTGTCGTTATTCACTGTCATGCTACAATGCATTGCATGGTCACAAACCACACATGACCATGATTACTAATACAGAAGACTAATTATTCTAAACAGCTGTGTTTACATTGGTATGAAGCCAGTTAAGCAGATGAATAAGCTTGTGAGGTTGCATTGTATATTTTAATTGTAATATTGCATGTGAGGTCAAGATTTGTTTGTTGTTGAAGATAAACACAAATGACACCAGATAAAGAATGAAACCCAGTGCAAAAGGCAGTTAGCAGCATTTTCTGGGCTTAACACAAACAGTTATTTGTTTATATTCATACAAATCTTAGTGGGGGTTTTTTTTGACATAATAAATGTTTACTGCCAGATAATTGGCCTTACATATCATTGCCATGAGTTTTAAAGTAACTGTTTTTAAGTGTAATCCATAAAGCACTAGCAATTGTAAACAAGTGTTTTCACAGCAACCAGCTTTTTCTTTTTGAGATGAATCTGCATGCTAAACAGTTCCTCTCAGTTTGCAACTGACTAAATGGGTGTCTTGCACAGATGTGGGTGATGAAGATGATGGAGCACAGAACGTGGCTCCAGTGCTGGTCAACGGTTCTCCCAGACCTCCACGCATTCAAGTGCCAAGTGTCCTGGACCACGAATCGTTTGATATTACACTCCATCGTAAAGATAATGAAGGATTCGGCTTCGTCATCCTCACCTCAAAAAGCAAGCCCCCACCTGGAGGCAAGTAAACATTAAAGTGTCTCCCACATCGTAATACAGCGTTCTCACTAACACTTACTGTTGCATGCACACACCAAAGCTGAGTGCACCCCACACAAGTTTAGCCCCGATTTTCCTGTCGCAAATTAGAATCTACAGCAAAGCACCCCACTCAGCGACACTCGCCTGTGACAACCGCTTGTGTAATGTGAACGGTTCAGTTGTTTTCAGTGGTTATCCCATAAAAAGCAGTTCGGTGGTTTTCCCAGTAGTATGGTTAACCAAGTTGCCACGTTAACAGTCCCTAGTGACATAAAACACTTTTTATTACCAGTTTAAGAACTCATACTTAATTTAATGATGTTTTTCATGCAAAGACACTAGTATTCCCTCACTGTAACTTTTCCGTTTTTTATGCTAGATGATGCAATATCCTACATTAGTACCTCATTTAATGTACCTAGCATACATGAGATTTTTCTGGAAACACGGTCAAACATGCTCTGTGGTGCAGGCAGATATCATGGCTGTACTAAAAGCCGCTTCTGTTATGGTGTACATTTTAGAACACCCTTAGTCCACCTTGTCAGGTTTCAGCCTGAAAAATGGGTCTCAGGAAAAACACAGTAAAGTAAATCCATGTGTCAGCAGTTGAACATCACGTAAAATGGGCCATTTCAAGCAGCCTCAGGCGAAATGGCTTCAGGGAAGAGAGTACCAGGCTAAGCTAAGCGGCCATAAATGTTTGTTTGACATTCAAAATTTTGTTTTCTTACTCATCTAATTGCAGTTTCACCTAGTTGAAGATTATTATTATGTTCTTTTGTTTGACAAAGCTTAAACTCACACTTTCTCATTATCTTTCCTGTGTACAGCACAAACATTCTATAACAACATTGCCCAGATAAAGTCATCAGTAATGAGCAATGTGTGTCTATGTGTTGCAGTGATTCCTCATAAGATTGGCCGTATAATAGAGGGCAGTCCGACAGACCGGTGTGGTCTGCTGAGTGTGGGTGACCGTATCTCTGCTGTTAATGGCCAGTCCATCATAGAGCTCTGTCACAACGACATTGTGCAGCTTATCAAAGATGCCGGCAATACTGTCACACTTACTGTGGTTCCTGAGGATGGTGAGTTATGGTCAATATCTCTGAAAGACAAACAACTCAGTGAAAATAATTTACTTTAATTACTCTCTCTTCTAGCACTCAATAAAGGCAATAAAAAACTGAGGTTAGTTCAGCAGAAAACTAACCCCTCTCAGCCTCTGATTAGCGTTATGTAGTATTAATGTGATGTAATCAACACAACACAGCTGTTCCATGTCAGAATTATTCTGGTTTGAAAAATCACTGTCACCTCACATTTATTAATAATTTAATTTACACAGTCTTGCAGAATTATAATGAAAACATTTTTCGTATTTTTCTTCCACGCACATCTGTTTTGACTGGCTGTTCAGAATACAAAGGCCCACCTTCAGGAGCCAGTTCGGCCAAACAGAGTCCAGCGCCACAGCACAGGACACTGAAATCCACCACACAGGAAGAGAGGTACCACCCACTAAAAGTCTGGATCTGATCAGAAACCACTCCGCATTGTAGACTTATTAAAAAACTGTCCCATTTTTATTAAATATGGTCTGAAGCCCTAAAAGAGAATTCCACCCATTGTTCATAATTTCTTCTTAATTCAATGATTGAGATATAGACAAGGTCATTCAGAGTGGTCTGATGTGAAGTGCTCTGTTCTAGAGAGACTTACCAACTCAAATATCTTTACAGAGGTGGGGATAGGAACCAGGGATTGGGATAAAGTAAATACACCCCATGAAATATTTATCTTTTTTCGACAAATGTGAACATATTAGCATTTGAGCTTCAGTTAAATAGGATATATAAACAGATGTTGTGTAATAGAACAAAAAATAGAAGTTTTACTTTGCAATCATTTATTAAAAAAAACAGATGTCATTTTTGTCTGTTGAGAAAATAAGCACACCCCTGGCTTCAGTAACTGGTACTGCTCCCTTTGGAAGAAACTACTTCATGTAGGCGTTTCCTCTAACTGTCTACCAATTTCTGACATCTACTGAGAGAATTTTTTGCCCAGTCCTCCATGCAGAATTCTTTCAACTGTGCAATGTTTGAGGAATTTCTTGCTTGTACAGCCCGTTTTAAATCCACCCCACAGCATTTCAATGGGAAGTAAATCTATAGGATTCAAATCTGGGCTTTGACTGGGCAATTCCATAACCTTCCATTTCTTCCTTTTGAGCCATTCCTTGGTGGATTGACTTGTATGTTTGGGATCTTTATCCTGTAGGAAAGTCTACTTCTTCAACGTTTTTACAGATGGTCTCGCGTTCTCCTCAAGCTCTCTCTGGTATGAAAGAGAATTCATAGTCATTTCTGTGATTGCAAGTTGGGGAAGCTGAGGCACTGAGGCAGCAAAGCCTCAAACCATAACATTTCCGACATCATGCTTTACAGTTGGGAGGTTCTTCTGACCAAGTGCAGTCTTTGGTTTTCCCCAAACATGACTTCTGGTATTGTGGCCAAACGGCTGTCTGTCCATAGCACGTTGTTCCAAAAGCACTGGACCTCTCAAAATTATCGTAAAGTAATATCTCAGGAATCAGGCAGCCTATTCATTTCATATGATAACTTTCTGTGAGAAGGTTGACCTTCAGACGTCTGGTTCCTATGGCCACACTGTGAACAGTTCTGACTTAGCAAGTTTCTGTAGAATGGTGCATTTACATCAAACCACTCTGAATGACTGCATGATTTAATTATGTTGAAACGTTGAAACATCTGTGGAGTTACCCTTTAACAAATCAAAAGTTAGTTCTTTTTTAAAGTTACCTGGCTCAGTGTTAAAGTTCCCGAAGAGTCAGGATGTTAACATTCTATTAATGTTTTTTTGTGTACATTACATGCAGGTATAATCTGGACATGGAGGAGAGCAGGGATGAACTGGCTTGGGCAGAATATAAAACCCTTCCTATGAGTGAAAAAGGAACACTGTGTGTTACAGGCTCCAAACAGGTAAAGGCCAAAGCTACTGTACTTATCTAATCTACGAAATACATTTGATATGTACAGAAGCTTGAAACAAAAAAGCTCTGTCTGTGTTTCACAGGGCTGTATTCTGGTAGAGTTAGAGCGCGGCCCTCGCGGCTTCGGCTTCAGTCTTAGAGGAGGGACAGAGTATAATATGGGGCTGTATATCCTGCGATTGGCTGAGGATGGCCCCGCCCTTCTGGATGGCAGAATTCAGGTCAGTAGGGCAGCTTAGCATGCTCAGTCACCTCAGAAAAGCTGCACAGTAGCTTAGAAGTGTTTAATCCCAAACCTGCTTGAAGACATTCACATGCCTTACAAAACTCTATAGTAGATGTTTGGAAATGTACCTGCTGATGCTGTATCGCACATCTTAGTTTCATTAAGGATCTGCCAAGCGGTGTTCATTAAGACTGAGACTGATCACAGCTTTGAGATGCACTTTAGCACACCTGTTGCATGTACCCCCTACCTTTGGTTTTCAGGTGACTATCACCTAGAACTGTTACACCACTGACCATTTCTTAGAAATGAGACCCTCAAACACAACTCCATTGTCCAAACTGTGAGATTAAACACATGTTTGTTTGATTGTGACTTTTTGAAGGATTTAAACAGGTGAGATTCAGTGTGAACTGGAAATCATAAGGCATTTTCGTTTAGTCCCGTGACGTATTTCTAAGCGAAACACAGAATCAGGGTGGGTCTCAGAGCTAGCTGAGTATTTTTGCTCGATGGTAGAGGTGAAGATGGAACGTGATATTATTGGTTAATATTATTTTTCAAAAGACATTTTCAAGGTCAGGAAAAGTCACTGCATTTTGATCAAAGATTATGGGAAATCAAGAATATTGAGACTATTGAAGAATATTGTCCTCTAATATGAACTAACAAGATGAAAAGAGGTCCATTTTGATTTCAGCTTGACTTTAAGTGCTGCCAGTCAAGCACTTTTGGATGCATTTTGGATACTGTTCCACAAGCATGTCAGTCAAGCGTTTTTGGATACTGTTGCCAAAATCAGATCTCTCCATTCCCAGACATCATTATGGAACTAACCACAGCTGGAGCTGAGAGTGTGTAGACTGTTACCACATTCATCAAAAGTAACAGAATAATGAGCTGCCAACTGAAAAAAAGCAATTCAAGTGTCAACCCTTTTTTGTACACTGCACACTTGCCTTGAAACACCCTGCTTTCCAGATGCTCTCTAAAGTGAGGTGTTCTACATGCAGGTTGGAGATCAGATAGTGGAGATCAATGGGGAGCCCACACAGGGGATCAGTCACACCAGAGCCATTGAACTGATTCAGGCTGGAGGCAACAAAGTACTGCTGCTGCTGAGACCTGGACAGGGGCTCGTGTCTGACAACAGTGAGTCTGGCCGTCTGTCCATCTGTGTCTATGTGTCTGTCTGCCTGTCTGTCTGTCTACCTATCTATCTATCTGTCTTTCTATCTATGTCAATCACAAACATGCTAGTATAAAATTAACTATCTAATATAACTTGCTGTTTTCTGAAATCTAACTTTCTTTCTTTCCTTAACTCTTTCTTTTTTTATTCATTCTCGCTAGGTAGTGTAAGTTCCTCTGCTGTGTGCTACTACCCCCAGGAGCACCATCACTAACAGTTTCTTTTCCTCTGGGCCATCTTTTCTCACTTTGGTAATTCTGTTCCTTTTGTCCTCCCTTGGCCTCACTCATATCTCAACTTAAAGAAGGTTATAAAGAGGTATCCCACCCAAATATCAATATTTTCCCCATATTCCCATCCATCTAAACATCTCTCAGGTCTCTCGGTGGGTAGGGAGATGACAGAGATATATCTATCTATCTATCTATATATATATATATATATATATATATATATATATATATAGATATAGATATATATATATATATATATATATATATATATATATATATCCTTTCAGCAGTATAAAAATAAAAATAAAAAACCCTAGCAACACCCCTGTGCCTGATACACTCATACCAGCGCCACATACGCTATCATGCTGCTACTACAGTACTGTGCAGATCACTCTTCATATACTTAATTTCCAATCAGAACTGCTTTTACGTACAAGTTATTCATTTTTCAGGAGAATTACCTTAAGAGTTTATGTATAAAGACAATGCACTTGCACAGGGAAGGAGAAAGTCTTCCTAAAGGATGTAAAGGAAATTAGTGGAAAACGAGAGTTTGCAAACTGGAATTCAAAAATATTATTAAAAGATATAGAGAAAATTGGATTTCAGACAACCGTGCAAAACCTGGTAGACTACCGGAACTGTCCCCATCAGATCAACAGTACTTTCAGCTTTGAGAGAGAGGAGAAAATCAAGCTCTACTCTAGCTTCTTATCTGAAAAATATACAGGTGTTTGTCCATCCTTTCACTGTGAGAAGACAACTTTCAGGCAGCGCAATGTGTTTGAAAGGATGTGTACCTGTGAAGAAGCCATTACTGAGAAAAGGAAATAGTTTAAAAAATTCAAATCTTTATATTCCAAATGGGATCGTAAGAACCAACCTCTATTTATATATATTTAATGGTGGTTTTGAGTGGAAATGAAAAAAAATGAAGGGAAAAATTACAATTGATATTTTGATGGAATACAGCTGTGACATTTGCCCCCCTTGAATTTGTCAGAGTGTTTTATCATTATCCCTTATAAGTACATTTGACATTCTGTGTTTTAGCAAAAGTGTTTATTAGACATATTTTACTTTTTTTCTTTCTTTAGACTCTGCAGCAGCAGATCCAAAAGTCTCTTCACCTCTAAGCTCTCCTGGTGACGTATTCCTCTCAGACCCGCTGCCATCCGATGCTTCAGCCTTTTCATTCTGTTCACCCTCCTCACCCTTCGCCCTCTCTCCAGACCTTTCTGAGTCCAAAACTAGCTTGTCACCTCGCCCCAAAGAAATCAACAAAGAGAGGGGCTCCAAACCTCGAGACGCTGCGTGTCCCGAAGCCTCTGAGCCAAGACATGTCAAGAGAAGTCAGTCTAAAGAGAACAACATTGACTCTACAAGTACAAGAAAATCTAGTGAAAAGAAGCTGAATAGTCCATCTAAAACCAAAGATAAATCTCACAACTCTCGCAGCTCCAAAGAGTCCAGCAGGCACGGGATATCCAGCAAACACCAACCAAGCCGTGCAAAGAGTCCCACAAAGTCAAACCAGGAGGGACAGGAACTGGACGTCAACGAGACACAGGGGGAAATTGAGGAAAATCAATCAAAGAGGAAGTCTCGGAGGGATGAAAAGAAGGGTAGCAGTGAGAGGGTGGAGAGGGCCAATACAAGAGAAAGGCTGAGAAGCAGCAAGACAGAGGGCACGGACCGGGAGAGAGCAGAACGAAAAGGGCGAGAAGAGGTGGTGAGGTCAGAAGAGGAGGCAGAGCTGAAAAGCACCTTGAGAAGAAAGAAGCAGCCACAGGTGGAGGAGCAAGACAGACACACCAACACACCCAGAGAAAAGAAGAGCAGTGGCCATCATAAACATGAAGAGAAGATAATTCAGCCGAGACGGAGTAAAGAATTAAAAAGTGATTCAAAGAGAAGGAATGAGGTGGGAAAGAGGGATATGCATGTATACAGTACAGAAGCCAAGCAAAGAGAGGACGAGAATGAAAGCGAGGAAGACTCGCCAGAGAGCCCAACAATGAGCTCAGCGCTCAGCAACTCAATACTCAGCGTGAACGGGCAGGCTGGTGCTGGCCTCTGGAAGGTCCCGAGCTCCGCACGTATTCTAACTCGCGAAGAGGTGATGCGTGATTTTTACGGGTAGCTAAAGCATGCACTTCACTCTCTGGGCATTGTGCATTAAACCATGGCCTCTTCGGAGCTGCTCCTCTCTTTGCTTAGCTTATTTCTAGAAAACAGATATGATCTGCCAGTTTCACACCTCTGCCATGTTTACATAGCTGCCATGTCTGACCCGTACATTGTAAAATGCACATGGCATAGTGTATGATGGCTCCTCTGCCCTCATTACTGCTGATTTTGTAACAGGATGGGTGAAAGCTATCAAAAATGGACTTGCTGCTATTTTTGCTTTTACCCGATCTGTACTGAGAGCAATGCTTATCATGGAGAGGCTTGGAATGGAACACCTTTGCAAAACTTCTGCTGACTTTTTGGTCAAAGGATCAAAAGGAAGAAGGGACTCAGTTCTGTCCACCTTGCCTCACAAACATCTCCTCATTTTGTGCCAATTACCAAGTTTTTTTTTTCTGTAAGTACAGACTCTCTGCTGACCATTACAATGCACTTCATCCATATGCAATGAAAGGGACTATCACTCCCTACCAATCACCAAAAGAACAAACATGAATTTGAGTTTTTCTACGTTCTATAGTCATGTTGCCCCGACCCCAAAGAGTGTCCTATTACTGCATGCAAAAAAATGACCCTTTTTCCTCCAGTTGCTTTGTCGCATGCCTTTTTAAACGCCAGTCAAGGATGTCTTTCAACCAGACTCTGATAGCCGACAAAGAACTGTACTTAGAGGCTCGAGGCAAACTGCCTGAGTGGTATCTGCAGCAACTAGCTTTACAAAGGACTGTTCTAGACTGTTCTCTGATTTTAACACGCCCGTATCCTTGATCTTCAAATCTTCTTATTGCAAAAGACCAGAAACTTGTGCTTTAATATCTTCTTTGCCATTTGTATGAAACCTGTGTAACTTACTGAGAAGTGTATATGAGCATAGAGACATGTAGCCATATCGAATCATCGACTATGACGTGTAGAAGTCCAAAGTACGTAGAAAAGCACCGTGGTAGATTTACCTTGTAGCAGTTACTTTTGACTCATCACAAGAACTAATGATACATGCGGGAGTATCTGTAAATGTTATGTGATCTTGGACGTTTCATTTTCTTTCACGTTTCCCACATGTCCGTCTTCAAACTGAATGCAAATGCAGGCAACGTAAGCAATCGGAGACTTCAGTTGATGGGAAAATATGAAATACTATTAAGATTACTGTTTCAAACCCATTCAGACATCTCAGAGATCTTTGTAAAGTCTAAATGATTCAGTAGGACAACATGCCAGTCCATTCCATGGTGAGAAAACTTTCGGTTCTCTTCAAATTAGGAATACTGCAGGTACTGTGTCCATTGGTCTGTCGTTTTCATTATTCCATAAATTATCCATTCTTGCTCATAGGAAATGTTGTGTGTAGCACCATTAAGGGCTGATTAAAATGGTGGTTCAATCATTGTTGTAACATTTGATAGATTAACCGGTAAGGTAGCTGACACGCCCTATCAATACCAAAGGATTGGTGACCATCCAGCGTGTGTTTAACTGTTTGTGTCTTGTAATTCACCTCAGGGTTTGAACTGATGTACAGTAGTCGATGGTCATGTGTGATCGCTTTGACATATTCAAGTCAGTCAGTGCCATGGCATTTTTGCTCTCCTCTGGAGCAAACGATGAATCATCTGGCTCATCCGGAAAGCGCCCGGTTCCTGCATTCATCTATGAATTATAAACAACACCGAGTTATGGCGATATTCCAACATGTCAGGGTTGGCACCACTTTGTGTCAGGGACATCCAACTGAATTTAGTTCAATATGTTCTTTAAAAAATGGACGCAATATTAAAATAAGGCCATAAAAAATTCAGCACCAAGTAATCAGCAACATTCGAGCCACCACTGTCAGTAATGTTGCAGAATGAAATGGTGTCATGCATCGTTTCAGTGCAGGTGGTGAAATCCTAATGGTCTGTATGGTCTGTATCATGTGGTCCAAGATGTAAATGTTTAAATATTGTACAGCACCTTTATAAATATGTTGTTGAGTGCTCTCTCAGAAGAATGAATAGAGATTTGTAAATTCGCTCCATTATTTTTGTATTTAAGTATTTAAAAAGAAAAGATTTAAAGTGGATCAAAAGCTAAGATACCCCTGTCCTGGTGTTCTGTTCATGCACTGTAAAATAAAGGTTTATGGGAAAAAAAAACTTACTGCATTTTGCCTATTTATTTTTTTTATATATATATTTTTTGATCGGAAACAATATTAACCAGGGCTGTCACTGTTGATTTAGTAATCGAGTAATCTGCTGATTATTGTATGGTTAATTATCACAGGACAATACATTAAAATTGACTCAACAATAACAAACTATGTGTAGCCTTTCAAAGATTTTCATACTTTATTGGGAAAAGACAGATTTCATTAAAAAATAGAAACACTATGGGCTGGTTTCTGGAACCAGGTTAAGCCTAAACCTAGACTAGAAAGAACTTCCAATAGTATTTCTATATTGAAACTAAAATTTAGTCCCAGATTAGGCTTAATCCACATCCCAGAAACTGGCACTAAGTGGCAAAAAAATGCATATCACTGGGTGTTTCCATCAGGCTGTTTTGTACTGTAAGAAAGAGGCTGATGGAGAATTTAAAATATGTACTATCATCATTGATTGGCAGTTGTCCAATGAATCAGTAAAGACATATTTTAACACAGTTTTATTTAGTTTTTTAGTGATCAAGTTTAATTAAGTAATCATGGCAGCCCTTACATTAATAGCATCTGCATATGACTGAACAACTTCTGTCATTAATTAGAATTCCGTTCACCAAATATGTGCCAAATAGTTTTTCCTTACAGACTAAACCTTGTGAAATAAATGTGTTTCAGTCTGATTATTTTGAGGTTGAATTCCACAAGGCATGTAATGAGCTTTAAACACACTAAAACATTAAAGCAAACGTGAATCAGAGATCGCAATGGGTTTTCCATAGCGTTTTACATTACTGTGACATTTTTGAATGAAATGTGGTATCAGAGTGAGTCTCTGATCTGGCTGGGCGTTTTCTCTTGAGGATAGGTGGAGGTTTTGGGAGTGGGAGGTGAAAGATGATATTATCAGTTAATATTTTTCCTCACTTGCACTCCAGACATTTTCTAGGTGGGAACAAGTCACTACTTCGATCAAAAAAAATTAGGGAAGTCAAGAATTTTGTTCGTTAAATGATATGATGAAATGGATTGTGCTTAATATGGTCATGGACAAGAACTAACAAGGTCAATAAAGGTCCATTTTGACTTCAGGTTGACTGATCCACCTCTGTAAGATCCGCAGGGAAGTGAGATGTTGTGAATACAGATGATTCACGCTAGAAGTGGACGTACCAGTCTCCATTGCCAACAGTGGACACAAAGCAAAAGAATTTTTGGCACAGTGCAACTCTCCTCCCTGCACTTCTACACTTTAATACACAAACTCAACTTTGTTAACATTTAGTTCAGGCCCTGTGGACTCACTTGAACCGTGAACGCAATTAGAGCAGTGATTTTATCAGAATCTTTGTGTATTTTCATCTTTCTAATTGCATCTCAGTTTTACATTATCTTAATTTTACAATATCTTAATTAAAAATATCATTTGCTTCAGGGTCTGCACACACATGCACTCCCCTTCCACTCGGGAAAAACTACAAAGCCAAGACATTTAAATAATGTGTGACTAATTAAATTAATTCAGAAGAGGGCAGACTGGTCATGAGCAGTAACCATGACAGTGACAAGCTGTAACTGTAATTGCACAGCTAGACTTTCAGCCCTAAGCATACAGTGTTGACTAAACAACACATAAAACATATGGCTTTGCGTTAAAAAGAACATATTGTGCTTGATTAAAGATAATCCATCGAGCCGCACCGTGCCGATTTATGTGGAGTCCTGCGGAGCAGTTAATGTGTCCCATTTTCTTGGTACCATCACATTACATAACATATACTTGATTGCATCAGGGGGTACATTATTTAAACAGACAATAGAGGTCCTGGTTTACAGCACCAGTGAAACGTTCAATCTTCTCCTTAAAGTAGTTTCCCTTATTTTTAATATTTTCCACATTTTAGGATAATAGTGAAGACATCATCACTACGAAACCATGCAGGACAATTCAAAACAAGCTCCTATTTTAGAGTCTTTAAAGTATCACCCTTCGCCTGGGTGCAGCTTTGTGCATGTGTGACATTATCTCAAGCCTCAAGAAGATATCAGGCTTGAAAAAGATCCACATAAAGTTCAATGTAATTTCTTAAATTCATTTCTTACATTCAGAATTCTCATAACTCTCATTTGTTTACTGTAAATGTGCTGTGTGCTGTTGACCAGAGGAAGATGGGTTCTGCTTTTGAGGATTTTTTTTTTCCTATGCTTTTATTTAGTTGTTGTCCATTTGACCACTGTTGTCCTAGACTTGCTCAATACAGGTTCAGACCTGTCTTTCTGTAAAGCTGCTTTTTGACAATATTGTATAAAAAGTGCCATATTAATAGGTTTGAATTTAATTGAACCGATCACTGTCAGAGCAAAACTTCATATCTAATTTTGCAGGAGAAGAAAAAAAACTGAATTTTCAGTGTAGTTAATGTAACAAGATTTTATTGTAAGTAATTTTGCAGCATTTCTGTTGGTCCAGTCACCATTAAACTTTGATGCAGTATAAAGATCAGCTGCTGTTTTCAAATTATGCAAAAAAGAGATGCAAGATTTTGTTCTGACAGTAAAGATGTGCTGAGCACTAGTTGCTGAAATTTGTCAGGGGCATTTAAATGTATATAACGCTGCTGTCGGAACAAAACCTCGTATCTCCATTTTTATCGTTTTTCAGTTTTTGTCATCATTTGACAATGCATGTTGTCTTTTATGTTGTGTGTAAATTTCATGATGAATGGACCAAAAACAAGTGGCCCAGAATGACTTGGAAAAAAGTTTGGTTCCATAGACTTACATTAAAAGTAAAGCATTTTTTTTCCTTCTCCTGTGAAGTTACCATTTTGGAGATAAAAGTTTTTGTTCCAACAGCAGTGATATGCACAGCTGTATTAAAAGTTTGAACACTTCTTTTGGATTTCATGCGTTGCTTTTCTAAGTGAAAAGAAGTACACATCCCTACAGGGAACAAACTTAAATATGGCATTTTTCTGCAAGTTTCAGAGTTTCAAAAAATGTCTAAAATATGTTGCACATACAAATAATGAGAGTTAAATCAAACTTAATTTTCCAAATATATTATTACTTCTTTTGAAAGATTTTGCTTTATTTTCTAAATTTTATTTGCTAAAACATTTTCTTGCTTCTGAAATCTTTCTATGCTTCTGACTCTTTTTTTGACACTTTTTTAACGGGGGCAGGTCTTAAAAGAGGGTGTTCACTTGCAATCCAGAAACAAAAATGTATCGGCAAAGTCAGCAAATAGAAAATAAGTAAAGTAAAAACTGGCAAAAATGAGTAATAATTTTATATTAGAATGAGACTATTTTTTTTTTATTATGTTTGATTTAACTCATTATTTGTATATGCAACATTTTGATATTTAACATTTTGCTTATGGGTGTTAGTATTTTATTTGAAACATTTGGCACAAAAATAATTTCATCAGTATTTCAGCAACCAGTGCTGAATTATAATTTTATTTATTTAAAAGGTTTGTGTTGGAAATAAATTCAAACATAGGCATTTAATTCAGTATTTTTATTTGTCCTGCAAACGAACTTGCAGGATTTAAGCATAATGTTCTACATCAAAACGAATTGTGAAAGCATGCATTTAATCTGTTGTGTCCTTTTAACTGGTAATGTATAAAATAATGTTCATTTAGCGTATAGTCATACAAAAAGTCACACAAAGTGCCAGGAAGGCTGTTCAGTTTTATGGATGACAAGCAGACTGTACTTCTGTCAACACATTCACAGCCCTATATAAAGCTGTAAAGTCTATTTTACAGTTTGAATGAAATACAGATTCTTCCCAAAAGGGGTCGCCAATGAGTGCATACACGGGCCTCGCTCTGTCTATGTACTGTTAGAGAAAATTCACAACCCACCTGAACAACTCTGGCTTCAGCTCAAGAATGAATTATGAACTTTATAACTTAAAGAGGGTTTAATCTAATATTTCTTTGGCCTGCTTGTGCCGAGGCTGCCTTGGCCTTGTCTTCTTACAGGCCTTACTAAGGCCTTGTTGGTAACTGTGAACTTAGCCCTCTATCTCTGTCCCAAGAGAAATTTCACTGGGTGGGGTGCGTTTTTTTTTCTAAAGATAAGGCCACGGCACACATGGCAGACATGTATTGATATGGCCCAACTGTTTGGTTGTGCTGGACAAGACAGCAAGAAGTTGTTTTAAAAGGGTGGAGACAAGAGGTTGCAGTCCAAAACTGTTTTGCTTGTCTTGCTGCCTACTATAAATAGAGTGGAACGAGATATGTCTTCACAAAAGGTTGACTTTGAATGACTCTGACTTAAAGAGGTGATTGCTTTCTTGGGCAGAGCTCAGAAAGAATCCACTGGCATTCTTGAGGTATGACATGATATGTTGTAGAACCAAACGCCAAGCCCAACAGTGTAGTTAGAGACTTATAGCAGCGACAATGTTGTCAGATACAACACCAGGGATGCTGTTGTCATGAAAAAAATACTGAGTAACTCCCTTTCATTTCCTCATTATTTACAGTGGCTGTGCATACACCAAGGAAATATTACTATGGTGATGAAAACCACATAATCAGAAACATGTGGTCACTCCCAAGCTTTAACATTGTAACAGCTAAGTGAGGCATGGAAACACTGTTTGACTTGGCAACACATACTAACATCTAATATACTGTACGTGTATATGTGAGCATTTTTAGCTTTTTAGCCCAAATCTATTTACAGTATGTCACTTGTTTTGCATGACAGCAACGAAAAGATGCAGACAACATCATAATTTGATAAGAGAGGAAGTTAAGAGGCTATAATACAGGCATGTTTCCCATTTCTATCTGTTTCCATCAGCGGTCAAAAGAAATGAACTCCAGTCAGTCAGCAAAACCACCATAAAGTGAGGGAACTCCCTAGAAATGACTCACACAATATACAACCCACTGATCTGAGCCGTCTCTGGACCTCTTCAGACTTTGCTTTGGATTTTTCACTCTTGCTGCACTCCTGCTATAGCAACAGTGTTTTGGATAATGTTCTGCATGATTGAATGTATGGCCCACTGTCAGGCTGGAATGGAAACCCAAAGAAAACAGATACGGCTAATATTTTAAAGTTAAAGCCAATGTGCTTTTTTACATCTCCTGTGGAAAAAGAGATGTTTTGGATTCACTTATTGCTAGGGCCCTTTTGGTTACTCCTTAGTCCTGTGATGTGGCCTAACTGCTATGGCTGCTGCTGTATAGCTATATTCACTGGGTCAGGCACTGTGAGTATAGCTTGAAACTACATTATTTCTAGCTGTTAGTCCAAACAGACTACAAGAACAGTAATAACACACCATTTGCAGTACTCAGATCCCAGAAAAAAAAATTCTTCACTTATTTGGGTTGAAAAAGTTTGCAGTATGAAAACATTGTTAAAGTTTGTAATCTTAAAATCCATGTTAAAGTTTTTAAAAATACCATTCCCATTCACACCATTCAAATATGGGAAACAAACAGGCTTTTTCGATTTTAACGTTTCTGTGATGAACACATTTGCATGTATCCACTTATTCAGCCTACAGCAGTTTAGGCTGCCTATTCACAGTGACAGAACGTTACAGACTATTTTTGGTTATTAAACAACATAGGTGTTGTAACAAGAATTGTAGGTAGAAAATACTAAACAAAAATGTAGGATATGGGCCCTTTAACACATTTCTGTGTTTTTCTTTGACAAACATGATGTACAATTATCCTTGTAATCTTAAAATCCATGTTACCTTACAATATCACCACACTAGGCAGCAGGAAAAAATTAAAATATCAAGCCTCATCTCTCACTCAAAGCCCAGATAACCAAACTGAAGGTATCTTAGTTTGGGGCTATTATGAGAGGAACCCTTTCATGAGAATGGACATTTGTGTAAGGGACAGATGGATAGACACATTCAGAAACTTAAGATCCAAACACAACCCCTCAATTGCATGACTGGTATGCTATTTGTCATGATTTTTATGGAAAAGCTAACTTATTTTCAAGAATTCAGACTGTCAGATTTGGTCAAAACGGCTAGCTTATATAAGATCCCGGCAACCAGACTTTATGTAGGTTTTTTATGACCTCCATTTTCACTTCCTCTCCTTTCTATTTCAGAGTCCACATCCCCATTTGTAATGTGAATAGGTTTTAGATAGAAAATGGGGCCCTAATTATGGGAAAGTCAGAACTGTTGTTTTAATTTAAAAGGAATATTTATTTCAGTTTTGTATTCCGTTTGTAATAGTAATTGTATTTATTTATTTAAGGTATGGGGATCCCCCTCCTACCACCCCCCTTTTTAAAGTTTTAATATAATGTAATTTATGTTAATTTATTCATAATTTATTGTTATCGATATTGACTGATATCAATTGATATTATCTTATGATTCTATTGTTATAAGAAAACCATGGAATAGAAGAAGAGAATTATACAGGGGTGCATGATAGTTTGTGAACTCTTCAGAATTTTCTATATTTCTGCATAAATTTGACATAAAACTTCATCAGATTTTCACACAAGTACTAATAGTAGATAAAGAGGACCACATTAAACAAATGAGACAAAAATATTAGACTTGGTCATTTATTTATTGAGAAAAATGCCAATATTACCCATCTGTGAGTGTGAGTATGTGAATACTGCTTTCAGTATCTGGTGTGACCCTCTTGTGCTCCTTGCAACCCTGCCATGCACACCATGGTTGTTCAGTGTTCTGATGGTGGACTCATGAACATTAACATTAACCCCTGTGCGACAGGCCTTTAGTTGCTTAGAAGTTACCCTGGGTTCCTTTGTGACCTCGTGGACTATTACATGGTTTCCTCTTGGTGTGATCTTTGTTGTTTGACCACTCCTGGGGAGCGTAACAATGGTGTTGAATTTCCTCTATTTGTACACAATCTGTGTAAACAATTTATTCGTGCCATGATACACTTCCACAAACACGTTGTGACGATCATACTGTGATAGATCACTCACACCTGATCACCATCCCATTGACTAAAAACACCAGACTGTAATTTCACCTTCAAATCATCTGCTAATCCTAAAGGTTCACATACTTTTGTCACTCACAGATCTGTAATATTGGATCATTTTCCTCAATAAATAAACGGCCAGGTCTAATATTTTTGTGTCATTTGTTTAATTTGGTTCTCTTTATCTACTATTAGGACTAAAATCTGATGACATTTTAGGTCAAATTTATGCAGAAATATAGAAAATTGTAAATGGTTCTCAAACTTACAAGCACCACTGTATACATATTAAGGATCATCTAAACTGAAGCAGCTGAGCAGGATTAGAATGTAATGGTAAAGCAGACATACAGTCATAACTGTTGAACTAATCAATTACTGATATAATCGACTGATACTATGTGAATTTTGTGATCTTTTTCTTTTCAAAAAACTTTTCCTGATAAAAAGAAAAATACAGAAAAGGATCCAAACACAAGAAAAAAAAAAGGAAGAAAGCAAGAAAAAAGGCCCTCCTTGATGTCGCTAGGAGTCGGAATGGAGTTAGGTGGCACTGAATAATAGATATAACGTTATCGGCGCAGGTGAAGAAACGTTTTCGCTCTCCCGATTTAGACATACTAACATGGAGGCACTGGGGCAGTTTTGGACATAATCCACCGGTCAAACAGCCAAACACCTGATGCAGGCCTCGGTTCAACGGAAAAACTGACACAAACTGAGATGAGTTTGTGGAACAAAAACGGCGAGGTTTCATGAGGATAAAGCGCCAACACCCAGATCCAGTCACCCCTCCTCCTCCCGTGACGCCGGTAGGTGGGTGTGCCTGGTACAAAGCAGTGCAAGTGTCGGTGTTTTAAAGTCAGTGGGAGGGGAAAGCAAAGGAATATTCAGCTACGGGAGTTTAGACGAGGGTAAAACGTTAATACCATTACAGTTTTAGACGTGACTTTTTTTTTAACTGAACTGAAACATGTCTGGACGTTTATCTCGCTAACCAGCTCGTTACCTGTGGCAGAATTTGCGCTGAACTTTGTTCAGTGACCGGTTTAAGACATTGCTATTTATACACTTCGTATTTGTTTCTCGATTTGAAATGGTCAGGTCAAAAATGAGCTTGTGGACACTGTGTCTGCTGTTTTTGGCTTCTGTTTCTCGCGGAAAAGCCGGTAAGTAAATTAGCCCAAGTCAGTTTGAACAGTCTGGTCTTTTCAGCTGATGGTAACGTTAGTAGCGTTAGCTGTTATTTAACGCTAACGTTGAATTACTTTAACGGTTGTTGTTTAGCGTTGTTAGTTATGTTGGCTGTAAAAGCTAAAAATCTCTGTTCGTGTTCGTACACAACACTATCTTAGCTCCGCTAACTTTAATGTCTCAGTTTACCGTTTTGTAAATAGGGAGAGTAACGTTATACAACTAGACGTTAACTGTTCAGTTAGCTAAGTAGCTAAATCACTGTTGTTACGCTTAATAAACTTTAGCATTCACAGCGTGCAGTAGTTAACCTACTGCGTTATATGTTGGTCTGCTGGTCTCTCTCTCTCTCTCTCTCTCTCTATAGCGGAGTGTTCGAAACCTGTTCCGACGGGTAATGTGGTGTTAACTGATGACGCTATTCTGAAGAACGACTTCCCAGACGGCTCTGAAGTAACTGTCGAGTGTGCCAATGGATATGTGATGGAGCAGGGCTCAGACATCATCACCTGTACAGACGGGGCGTGGAGCACACCGCAGTTAATATGCAGAAGTACCAGCCCCTCTGTTTCAGTATAGTGCTTAGTGTAGTTCACACTGTGTTAACTGGTTCAAGATATGAAACGGTTTGTTTAGCCTCTCTGCCTCAGTAGGTTTGATGCTAAAGCTTGAGCAATATGGCAAAACTATAACATCACAATACTTGAAGACGTTTGCACTGTATCATGATATAGACTAGGGATGTGCATTCTGATGTTCAGAGGTGGCAGATTCAGGGTCAGAAAGCAAAAAATAATCCCCAGGAGTTTGTTCCAACTGCAGCTGGAACAACACCCTGGCAAGGATTTCTACTTTCTGGACCTGAATCTACCATCTCGGAACATTTTGATATTCAAGTATTCGTAAGAGTTTCTGAACAGATGTCCAGTTAACCACAGGGAACAAATGCTGCCTTTAGCTGAAGATTGTAACTTGGAATTTTCCACCTCTGACTGGGAAAAATAAAAAAAGGCCTCCTCAACTGGGAGTTCCAACTCAGAAATTCAGGATGTTCTCAACTCCGAGCTCAGGTTGAGGTCAAGTCAGCATGGCCGCTCATATCATCAATAGTGTAAAAGAACTACTGATCTACTTTTGAATGATGTTCGCTTTAGATCAGCCAACATGCAGACACAGTAATTGGTTACATCTATAACATTGACCTTAAAGTTCATTGTTGAGATGGTAAAAACACCATCAACATTAAAGTTATCGGTTATGTCACTAATGTTAGTTGGCTAATAGTTGCTTGTTGCTAGCTTGTTGCAATAACAATACTGACTTTCACAGAGATGTCTATGTTTTTCCCACTTTGTAGCTCATCCGCACGGAGGTTAAAATTGATGGAGTTCTGAGTTACGACTTCTCACCTCCGAGCCAAGTCAAACGTAATGTAGTAATGTGGGGTAGTAGGCTTGCCTTTTTAGGTGGCAGCACTGGTGTTGCATAAAAATACAGCAGCATGCTGAGAGATACAGTTAAAAGTGACATTGGTTTGTATTGGGCAAGTAATTAAGGCAGCCTCTTCAGATAAGCTAATGAGCTAACATAGTGCAGAAGTGTCACACTGTATGCTGATGAACTTCACATTATATGTCAGAGAAATGTATTTTCATTGTTTCTGGACCTAGCTGTCATCAGCATGAGTAGCTAGCCTAGTTGGTGATACAGCCGTGCTATCCCTGCTTTCCCAGTCATATCCTTAACAACACATCCCTGGCAGTGTGTTCATGTTCAGGTGCTCCTGGTTTGGAGTAGCAAAGTATAGAATAATATACTTGCTTGCAAATACGAGCAAAACTGTTGGGTTTCACTGTATGGTCAGCCTGTGTATTTTCAACGTCTTCCTGTGATAAAATGTAACAAATACCCAAATACTGATTTCAGTATTGGAATACTGGCATCTCAAACAAATAACCAAGTACTTGAGTACCATGCACATCCCTAATATGGGCAAAATGTACCAGCAAAACAGTAGTACCATTAAAGGGGAATTGTACAGATTTTTAAAATTCAATCAGAGAGCTTTGATAAGAAATGCTTCATTATAGAGAACTTAACAACCCTTCACATGCTTCAGATGTCTGGTTACTATCATCACCACTGTGAACAATTCTGACATGGTGAATTTCTGTAGAATGGAGCATGAATGATTTTGTTTTAACCATCTTAAGTATTTAATTATGCAGAACATTTGAAAAAAATCTATGAAACTCTCCTTTATGAAAGGCTATGATGTGATCTCAATGTTTTTTTTTTGTTTTTTTTTTAATACAATCCCATTTCCAAAGAAGTTGGGATGCTGTGAAAAATCTAAATAAAAACAGGATGCAATGATGTGCAAATCATTTATACCCTACACATAATTGAAAATAAACTAAGAAATTTGTTTGTTTATTGAAAAAGATATGCCCGTTTTGAATTTGCTGCCAGCAGCACATTTGAAAAAAGGTGGGACAGGGGCAACAGAAGACTGATAATGTTGTGTAATGCTAAAAAACACTGGTGGAACATCTCAGAACTGATTAGGTTTATGGGCAACACATTAGTAACACAATTGCCTATAAAAAGAGCATCCTAGAGAGGCTGACTCTTTCAGAAGTAAAGATGTGGAGGGGTTCACCAGTCAGTGAAAGACTGCAGTCAAATAGTGCAACAATTCAAGAATAATGTTTCTCACCGTAAAACAGCAAAAACGTTGATTTTATCATCTATGGTACATAATAACATTAAAAGATTCAGAGAATCTGGTGAAATCTCTGTATGTAAAGGACAAGGCCAAAACCAATATTGAGTGGCCATGATCTTTAGGCCCTCAGGCAGCACTGTATTAAAAAAAGACACAATTCTGTAGTGGAAATCACTGCAAGGGCTCAGAAACACTTCCGAAAACTATTTTCTGTGAACACAGTTCGTCGTTGCATCCACAAATACTAGTTAAACCCTATCATGCAGAGAAAAAAACATATTTAAACAGGATACAGAAATGCTGCCGCCTCCTCTGGGCCTGAGCTCATTTGAGATGCACTGAGGCGAAGTGGAAAAAGTGTCCTGCTTTCCGAAGAATCAAAATTTGAAATTCTTATTGGAAATCATGGACACCATTTCCCCTGGGATAAAGAGGAGAGGAACCATCCAGTTATTAGTGCACAGTTCAAAATCCAGCATCTGTGATGGTATGGGGGTGAGTTATTGCACATGGCATGGGCGACGTACACATCTGTGAAGGCACCATTAATGCTGAACGATATATACAGATTTTGGAGCAACATATGCTGCCATCCAGACAATGTCTTTTTCAAGGAAGGCCTTGCTTATTTTACTGAGACAATGCCAAACCACATTCTGCACGTATTACAACAGCATGGCTTTGTAATAAAAGAGTCCGGGTTGCTAAACTGACCTGCCTATAGTCCAGACCTGTCACCCATTGAAAACATTTGGTGCATTATGAAATGAAAAATACAACAAAGGAGGCTGAACTGTTGAGCAGCTGAAATCCTATCTCAAGCAAGAGTGGGAAAACATTTCACTTACAGCAATTGGTCTCCTCAGTTCCCAAAGCACTGTTAAAAGGAAAGGTGCTGAAATACTGTAGCAAACATGCCCCCGTCTCAACTTTTTTGAAACGTTTTGCTAGCATCAAATTCAAAATGGGCATATATTTTTTAAAAAACAATCAAATTTCTTAGTTTCAAAATTTGATATGTTGTTTTTCTACTATTCTCAAATAAATAGGGTTTAAATGATTTGCACATCATTGCATTCTGTTTTTATTGACGTTTTATACAGCACCCAACTTTTTTGGAAACAGGGCTATATAATATTTAATAAATTAACATTTATTGCTTTTTCCTGTGCAGTTTACTATACATTGGTTGTTTAGAGGCTCTCTAGAATTGGTGTAATTGGGAAAAGTTAGATTTTTATGATGAATACATTTTCTAGAAATATTGGTGACACCCTTGATATATGCAGAAACCACATATCTTGATATAATATATCACAATAACTATAACCTGTCATCATATTGCCCACAGCAGTCTTACATGTTTCTTTCAGAGAGAGACTGTGGTTCTCCCAAGCCTGCACCGAACATAACATATGTAATGCCAGATGGAACATTGTTCGGCGCACGCATTAAACCAGTTTGTGACAGAGGGTGAGAGTTTTCTGACCTTGTTTTCTTTAGCATACATTCTAAGTTTGAATCATAGCAGAAAAACATGGTCAGTATCCTGATTTCGACTTTTATGAACTTGACAGGTATTTTCTTCAGGGTTCAAGCTCTAGGCAGTGTCTTGCGACTGGTTGGAGCGGAAGGTCAAGATGTGAAAGTAAGTTACACAAAACTAGAGATGGGAAATTTGGAAAAATACACCATCATTTGACATTTTCACAATGCATGAATTATGACAATATTTAGTTTTTCTACCCCAGCAAAATAGGAGACACAACTATTTAAACTGCATGAGTAGTTGTATTTATAATTACACTTACAGTTATTTTAGTTCAGTGTTAGCTATTTAAACTATTTAAGCAGAAACAGTAAAAAAAAGTGATGAAAGTAAATAACGGTCTGCTTGATACTATGTACTTTATACAGTTGGTGTGAAACTGCTGGTTGTTGTTTGCAATTGGTAAATGACACCTTGGACCACTGCCCACTGACGGTGGTCCTAGGACAACCACAAACCAGAAACAGGGCGTTGAGCACCCAAGACTCATTGATGTATAAGGGCAATGAAGACTGATCCATCTGCTCCGAACCAGTAAATGGGCTACTGTGGCACTGTGGATTTTTCAATGACAGTTTTGTAAGGAGTGTTTCACAACACACAGTGCACCCTGCTGCATTTGGGGCTACGAGGGCCACAGACTGGTCGGAGTACCCATTGCTAACCCCTGTTCTCTGTCAAAAAAGTGCCTACGATGGGCACCTGAGCTTTGGAACTGGACTGTGGAGCAATAGACGAAAGTTGCCTGGTTTCATGAGTTTTGTTTTTTTACATCTTGTGTGCACCGTTTACTTGAGGAAATGATGTCACCAGGATACACTGTGGGAAGAAGACAAGCTGGTGGAGGGAGTGTGATGCTCTGGGCAGTGTTGTGCTGCGAAACTCTGGGTTTTGGGCATTCATGTGGATTTTAGTTTACCCGTGGCACCTCAGCTTCATTGCGGACCTGGTACACCCCTTTGTGGCAGTATTTTTCCCCAGTGGTAGTGGTTCATTTCAGCAGGATAATGCACCCTGCCATGTTGCACACATTTTTTGGGAATGATTTTGGGGCATGATGAAGTTGTTGCCCTGATCTCTAGTTTCTCCAGATACCACAGGGCACCTTCAGAGGTCTCGGTGGTTCACAGCTGTTTTGATCGCACACAAAGGACAAACAGCAGAGACAGGTTTACATGATGTTTTGCCTCTTTATTCTGTGTTTATTTATTTGTTTATTTGTTTTGTAGTCATCACTTGTGCGAAACCCACTGAGATTTCTGATGGCATGATTATCCGACGCCCGGTAAAGGACTACCCTGAATTTGAAGATACCATTGAGTACTCCTGTAATCCTGGCTACACTCTCATCGGCAGCAAGTCCATTTTTTGTCAGGACGACGGTGAATACAATGAACCACCCCCTATGTGCTTAGGTGAGTTTGATAACGTTAAATTCATGCGCCATATAGACAAAAGTATTGGGACACCTACTTTTATGACATCCCATTCTAAATCCATAGGCATTAATATGGAGTTGGTCCCCCCTTTGCAGCTAAAACACCTTCCACTCTTCTGGGAGGCTTCCTCCAGATTTTGGAGTGTGTCTGTGGGAATTTTTGCCCGTTCATCCAAAAGAGCATTTGTGGGGTCAGACACTGATGTTGATGATAAAATTCTATTCTTTTTTCTCTGAAGTCCACTTAATGTAACATTTATTTGGTTGTGGACACCTAAACCTAAAAACTTCTTTTTTACCTGACCATTTTCGAAACTGTGCCTTTTAGACTGACAGATGTAAATGATATGATTTGTGATTGGATGGCCTGTATTGTACCACATTCAAAGAACAGTTTGGACTACAACACTCCTTCACTAATCGTGAATGAGAAGAGTAAACATCTGTAGGCTGATCAGGAGGATGTATGTAAATACATTGGTTTGCTTGACATCAGAAATACAAGAATTTCAAAAAGGGCTGTTTTGATGCTCACTTTCTGTATATAAACTATATAGACTACAGAATAAATAGTTTGTTTTGAAACACTGTTTCAATAATACAACAAACTCCTTTGTTTCAAAAACCCAAGGAAAGTAAAGTTTTCCATGATATGGGCCCTTTCATTCCTAGTAGTACAGAATATACATTATCAGTACCGTCCTTGTATTCCCATTTCAATGATTGATTGCCAAGCTCCTCACATCCAGTTTGCTGTTCAGACTAAAGGGGAATCCCACTACACATACAATAAGCAAGGCCATATTTAAGTGCCAGTCAGGATACAGAATGAAAGGATCTCCCACGGTTGTGTGTGAAGAGCATGGCTGGTCTGAACTTCCGGTCTGCATTAAGGGAAATCTTTGTCCTTACATAGTGCACAGTAAATGTGTCTTGTGTGTCTGTGTTCACTCTTTTTAGCAGGATGTTGGCCAGTTAATTGTTTGAGTTTTGGCTAAAACTATGATGAACAATGCACACCGTACACACAACCTGAATTGTTGCACATTCATACCATGAATCTCCGATTACACCACATTTCAAATGTGCACTATTGGATTCAGATCTGGTGACTGGGAAGACCGCTGAAGTAAACTGAACTGATTGTCATGATCATGAAACCAGTGTGAGATGGCTTGTGCTTTGTGACAAGGCACATTGTTATGCTGCACATAGTTGTTAGAAGATGGGTGAATTTTGGTCATAAAGGGATGCACAGGGTCAGCAAGAATACACACATAGGCAGCGGGATTGTGGACTTGATTGGTTTTAGGGGACCTAATGTGTGCCAAGAACATTATCCCCAAACCATTACACGACCACCACCAGCTTGAACTGTTTACATACAGCAGATCCATAGATTCATGTTGTTTACACCCTGCCATTTGCATTTGGTGAGCCTCTGCTGACTGTAGTCTCAGATTTCTGGTATTGGCTGTTAGGAATGGAACGTGTTGTGCATTCAGACATGCTTTACTGATCACTGCTGTTGTAAAAAATGATTATTGGAGTTACACTGGCCTTTCTGTCAGCTCAAACAAGTCTAGGCAGTCAAACCTCTCTTTAACAAGATGTTTTTTTTTGTTTTTTTTGCACCATTTTGTATAACACACTGTTGGGTGTAAATTCCCTGCAGTTTCTCAGAAGTCAGTCTCTGCCACAAACAACTATGCCACAGTAAAACTCTTGACCCATGTCTGTATGATTTTATGCATAGTGTTGCTGCCACATGATTGATTGGATAATTGCAGACTGAACAGATGTACAGGTGTTTCTAATAAAGTGTCTGTGTAATTGAGTGAGTCAGTGTGTATAATTAGGTTTTGAGGTTTGGTATGTAATTAAATAAGGAGAAACCACAGTTTATCACGCACATAATACACCACAAACATAATTGTGCTGGAGGCATAATATAAAATTGAAGGTAAGAAATTCTGCACAAATCAAGCTCAGTGTTTTAACAGCTGGATCAGAGCAGATGACTCTGTAATGAAGTTCAGCTGACCAAAACCCCAGTCTCCTATTAAAACATTTTCATGTTTATTCGCATGGAATTTTACTGCAGATTTGATTTAATAGCCAGACACAAACCCCCGGCGTCTTGTATCGGCCCCTCATAACGAATTATACTTTGCTTACAGATATCAGCACAACAGTACGTTATCCGGAGACAACAGAAACCACAGACACCGTCTTCAGAGTTGACACCAACAGAAATAGCACCACCACTGCCCCATCTGATGTAAGAGGTAAGTACTGCAGCTGTTTTTCCTCTGTTCAGCTGGTGTACGGTCTCAGTCTTACTTTCATAAGAAGTATAGTAGTTAGATTTGCAAGATAAATTTCTTTTTTCAGATGTTTTCATTTTAGTCATGCAGACCAATTGTTATGGTAACAGCATACAGCAATTTGTTGTCACTTTTTTTTCTTCAGGACTGGATTATGAACCTTCAAGTGAGTCACGGTTTCTCTGAATATTAAATTTACTGTATTAAATTGCATCTCTGCTGGTTCTGTCCTCAGGGACAGCTTATATAGTTACTTATACAGCTAATTGGTGCAGTTGACTATGTGAGTCACTTCTGATTAAATTAAATCCCTGCTTGTTTTTCTGAGTATCTCTGAAGCTACAGTTTATAATTAACCTAAAATCTGATCCAGTTTATGTATTGAAGACTCTTCTGATCACTGATTTTCTGTTCCAGGTACTGTAGCAGGCACTAGGATTAGTGGTTATACAACTGAGATTGCAGTATTCAGCCTTGTTTTTGCAGGTGAGTCTCTTGGTATTAGTAGAAATAAATCTACCATTATGGATACATAATAATAATAATAATAATAATAATAATAAAGAATTTATTATTTTTTAAATGCTGTATATCAATTTCTAACAATTTTTAATATAACTGTTATATTTTACTACATCTAAGATTTAACCCAATTTCACCATCTGAGCTGTCGATTGAGTACAAAATAAAAACAAAGAAAACGAAGTGAGCCATGCACAGAGTTTGGGAGGCTACAGAAAGAGGCAGACATAATGCATAAAGATTGATATTATAAATTTTCTTTTATGGAAAACAGGTGATTGTGGGCTACAGACAAGATATGTCCTAATTCTTCTACATGCTATGACTGCAATAGGATTTCATTATTTTACTAATGCAAAACCTGCAGTGTGACATGATTAAAAATTGGCCTCCAGCATGCTCACTAATTTCCAATTTCAAAAATGTATAAGCAAAAGTTCGAAAGTAACATTCCTCTGCTAGAGAAGGATTTCACCGTCCACAGAGCATAACATCATTAAAAGATTCAAGGAATCTGGGGAAATCTCTGTATCTAAAAGAAAAGGCTGAAAAACATGACTGAATGCCTGTGACCTTCTACCCTTCAAATGGCACTGTATTAAAAACCAGCGTGCTTCTGTGATGGATATAACCACATGGGCTCAGGAATACTTTGACAAATCTTTGTCAAAAAACACTGTCCCTCTCTCGCTATACAAGCAAGTTAAGACTGTACTATGCAGAATGGAGGTCAAATGTCAACAGTGTCCAGAAATGCTGCCAACTTCTCTGGGCTTGTGCTCATCTGAAATGGGCTGATGCACAGTGGAAACATGTATTGTGGTCTGATGAGTCAACTTTTCATAGATTATGTATGGAAATTATCGAGATCGTGTTATTCCAAAAAAGAAAAGGACAGTCCAGTTTGTCCCCCGTAATGTTCAAAAGCCAGGTTTGTCATAGTATGGAGGTATTACTTGGTAACTTGCACATCTGTGAAAGAACCATTAAGGCTAAACACATTTTGGAGCAACATGTGCTGCGTCTTTTTCAGAGACGTTCATGCTTATTTCAACATGTCAACACCAAGCTACGCTCTGCATGTGTTACAGCAACACAGCTGCATAATCAGAGAGTGTGGGTGCTAGACTGGCCTGTCTACAGTCCAGAACTGTCTCCTGTGGAAAACATGTGTCTTATTAAGCTCAAAAAACGACCACAGTGGCCCTGTTGGCAGCTGAAGAGTTGTGTAACAGAATAATAGCGAAAAGTCCTCTTTTAAAACAGAATCAGTTTGTGTCTTCCGTCCTTAAATGATTATTACATATTGTTAAAATGAAAGAAGATGTAAGACTGTAGTAAACATGCGCCTGTCCCAGAATTTTAAAATAATGCCATGCCATTTTTCTTAAATGATATACTACATGTAACATTTACTATGCATTTACTATGGAGAAGGCCATGTTAAAATCCATAAAAAGACAAGAATGTAAAGGTGTGCTTTTTTGTTTGTTTGTTTTACCAGTTCAGTAATGTCTCACTACTTTTCACAGGTTTCCTAGTCATCGGACTTGTGTCTTGTTTATATTACTTCTGTAAACGGAAGGGGTAAGCATATCCATCAATCGTTTTTATTGTTTAAATGACTAGTTTGATGATGCACCAGCCTACTAAAATTCTGCATGGGTGAAACACTGCTACTGACCATCCTGCTTCCTCTTGTGCAGCACAGAGCAAAGAAATCACTCATTTCTTTGCTCTGTGCTGCTTTTCACTCTGTGGACATACTAATAATCCACTGTATAATCAGCCACACATTTCCATCATGCATGGCTTTGGTTTTTTATAGTTCTCAGGTTGTTGGATAAAAGTTCAGAAACAAATCATAAAAACAGGAAAGACTGGAAACTGTTCTCTGCCAACACTATGCAGCCCTTTGGAATTTAGCTTTTCCTGGTTTTGAGGAAGTAGGAAAACCCAAATGTTGGTCTTTTGATGCCCTGATCATTAATGGTGGTGACAGCTGATGGACAATTTCAGAAGTTAATACGTTAATACAAACATTTACACTAAATGGTCTTTGCTTTGGAGTTGAAGAAAACATGGCTGCTGTAACCAATGAACCAGTATTGATGAGAACACCCAGTTAGACTCAAAGGTGCAAAAAAGAGGTTTTAGTGCTGGAGTAGTTCTGTCAGAGTTGTTTCTTTATGGCTGGGGCTTGACTTTACCTGGAGAGTTACCATCCATAGCTGAAGATCTGTTTGACTGTAATCTTGTTGAGTAGGATGTAAACAGTGGCAAGATGTTGTAATCAGCTAGTTTACAGAGCTGAGCAGTTAGTGATCTCCAACTGTTGTGGACTATGCATTGTTGTTGTGAGGGTTGCGTTTGAAAATATAGAGTGGCTGGATTCATGTGCTTTGGAAGAAGGCATGTGATAGAGTTTTAGGCCTGACATCAGAGGGTCATTTAATGGTGCATTGCCCCACCGAACAATAATCATGTCCAACTAAACCCACTAGTTTGTGCATGCTTCTTGTGTTACTGTAAGAGTTTACAGTGATGGGAAGTGGTTATGACTAAATAAGTGGGAAAATGTCTTAATGAAATATGGAAAAAAGAAATAATGTAATATAATGGAAAAAAAAGAATGTTGTGGAATGCTCTCATTATTACAAAATTAACACTGCTTGGTGCACAGCTGTCATACTAATTTTAAGGCATCTGACAAGCAATCTACATTAAAGGCTCCAAAACAATAAAACTAAGCAAATGAATAATTATGACTGTATCTTATCTGGCCATGTTGCATAGATCGTACAACACCGGAGAAAGCCTGAAGATGAAAGAAGATTTGTTACAAAAAAAGTTTCAAAATCTCGCCTAAGGTATCATTTAGGGTTAAAAAAAAACCCAACTATCCAGCCATCTCATTTAACTTTTTCGTATCTTTTTTCAGCCCTTTCTTTAGTGTATACATTTTCCATAGATTAAGTGACTCATTAATTTCAGTTCTAAATCCTAATTCAGTAGTGGTAAAAGTACTAACATATTACATTTTTCTGATGGGATTTTAAAATGACTGTTTTGTAAGTGTGTTAAGGTTAGTACCTAAGCCTGTTTTCTCCTTCCAACCTCAGGATGCGTACTCGGACTGCCCCTGCCTGCTAATCGGCTTTTCTTTCCTTGAGAACACGCACTCTGATGGAGCACTGATGTATTATGCCTAGCATTGACTCCTTAAATTGATCGATTGTTTATGAAGTTAGATTTGCACATCAATTTTAATTTATTTTCTGTTATTTTTGTGTTTTATACATACTATTTTTATGGGACTAAATAAAAATGTATTATATTCTCAGTTTGTCAGCTATTCCTTTCCTGAATGCTGAGATACTGAATGCGTTCTGTGGAAATCTTATCAGCCATTCTTACAAATGGCACTCTAACACTTCTTCCTGTATCTTATCAATAGCAGCTCCTTGTGTAGCCTTCCAGGCTGGGAAAGTGACATCAGGTGGTTATATTTAATGGAGGTCTCCAAGGGGAGTGTTTCTGAATCAGGCCTGCATACAGTCGTAGGACTGTGCTTCATTTTTGAATATACACCGAAACAAAGCAAAGTGCTCAAAGATGGCACACAGGACACCTTTTCTTCTGCCACTTAATGTGGAACATGGTGGGCTGAAGTAAAGCTCCACTTTGTGAGTCGGCCACTCACTGCACTGGTTAGGACAATGGCAGTGACTAATGCAGCAAAACCAGCTCTACTGCCAAATGCATCATCCAGCGAGAGAAAATCAATAGTAACGCACATTCAGACGATGTAGTGTTGAGTCTACCCACCAGACTGAAGCAGTAAGAGTCAGTCTGGTTTGTCACAGACTAGAGAATCAGTGTGGCTAAGAAGGCATTCAATTAAGTAATACTGTAAATAAAAAGCTTTTCTAATTAAAACATCAGTACAGCATACATTGTTCCATTGGGTTAATTTAAATTGTGTTGAGTATCATTGTAACGTCTTTATGCTGTTCAATTTAAGGGTGGACAGTATTCTTTTTTGAGAGTATAGAGTGTTATTAGTACTTCTGTACACTAAGCAACTGCATGTGTCGCAAAAAAAGACGTGCAATGATTATAGAGAGTCAACAACAACAACAAACAATCTATAGTAAGTACATAAGCTGCATATTAACAAATAGCTGATTGGTGTCAGCCAGTTATGCCATTCTCCTAACTTATTTGTTTCTAACTGTTTGAGTTTTGCTGGTGTATTCCAACTTTTCCTCAAACTGTAGCAAATGAAATATCACAATATATTTCATGATAATGTCTTCATATATCATATTTGTCAAGCATACATTTGTCAAAAAACAGGAATGTCATGGCAGTGGTTTAGCAACATAATTACTCAGTCTGTCTCAGTAAAACTCAGTGGAAATATTCTCAGCTACATTTCACAGCCTTGGCCTTGAGATGAAAGAATCTATTATTTGGACTAAAATGTTGTCCTACGGTCTGAGCTCACAGTAGTCTATTATTCCCGTTATTTGCTCCTGTGCCTTTCACTTGAGCTTTAATAATGAGAGGAACTAGATGAAGATCTCTGTTCATTGTGGTGGTGAAAAGGAATGCAATGTGACATATTTCGTGGAGGTGTGTAATTCGCTGTGGCCTTGCCTTGTTATTTTCAGCAGTGTTAAAAGATGTATTGTTTTCTTCTTTGCGAGTTTTATACACCGTGCATGTGTATTTCCACTATGTTCTTGTCCTTGTTGGTGTCACTGCACTCACAGATCTCACTGTCATCTAGAGGCAACATCAAAGGGGAAAAAAAGGAAATGCGAATGGATAAAAGGGAACAGAAGCCACAATGAACTCTCTTTGACCTGCAGTTGAGTTTTTCAGTCTTCTAAGCGGAGGCCTGCTCCTAGTATTACTAACTCATTTTACTGCATAGCAGAGTCTTGCCAGCTTCCCTGCTAAAAGGAAGGTTTTACCCCAAATATAGTCAGTCAGCCAAGGCATGTTTGGCATCTAAAATTTACTTCTTTATTTTGGCGCTGGAGCTGTGAGGCTAATGAAGCTAGTAGGTAATGCTTTAAAAAGCCTTGTTTATGTGGTTTCTGACACTATATGACATGCTATTATATATAAAGAAGGAGAAAAGTACAGGCAAAATTCAGGCTTTAGGATGAATGCTACTACTGTTACTATCTAAGTGATGTCCATTTTTTTTAGATAACAGTATGTTATACAGTATCAAAAACACATAAGCATGTCTAGTTAAGATTTCTTAATAGCTCAGCAGGGTTTGAGCCAAGTGTCTGATGATTTAGGCATGAGGTTACATAACGCTAATTGTTGGGCTTCTGTTAGCCTCTTATCTCCAGGACAAAACTACAGAAGGAAACTTCAGTCTTCACTGATTGACTACATTTTCAGTAATTGAGAAAATGTGTAAATTTGATTTTTTTTCCTCATCTGTTCCTTTGATGTACATTTTTAATACACTACCTGGGGCTATACTGCTTGATCACTGGTGCAGCTTTTATTGGTGCCAAATCTTTGGTTAGCTCACCGAGAGTAAAAAGTGCCTATAAGAAATAAATAGAGCAAGCATAGATTTAGTCCCATTCTGTGAGCTAGCTTATAAAATGTGAATATGGCTATGAGATCAGAAAGTGGAAAGCTTCCATCGAGCTGAAAAGTGCTAAAACTTGTTTTGCCATTCACTCTCTGTTGCCTGACAAGGACCAGCTGCCTTATGCAAAGCAACTAACAGAGAGGAGCAGAATATTTCTGTAACCAAAGTGTTATTCACTCAGCCACTTGACAAAGCATCTTCCAGTGTGAGGTCCAATAATACAAGCCAAATTCAACAAATATATGGCAATAGTACTGTTCTTTGTCGTGTTTGACAGAATCTGATCAATCTTAAACCTTGTAAACCATGCATTGAAAAAGCTCTTTTTTGACCAGGTATTACCAGTACTTTCAGGTTGAGAAATGACTTTTAATAATTCCGGGTTGTATCTGATGGCTTTAGAACTTTTAGCATAAGCTTCTGTGTGAATGAGAGCTCTTGTGCAGTGTAATCAATTTGGGCTGAGACACCAAAGCTTGTTTGGAAGCATTATGTCTGCTTTTCTGTGTAAACATGTCAGTGAATAAAAGTCTTGTTGATACTCAAGCGGATGTACCACAATAAAGATATATGAGAGGTGATTAATCTTGAACTCATTTAGGTCAGTATTGTCATTTGCCAGCAGTAAATAGTCTATCAAACGTAGGCTGTGAGAGTTGACCCTTGGACATCACTTAGATCAGTGAGTCAGTCTTTTTAATATGATAAAAGACTGGCTATGATACTCTGCACTGTATCCTTGTAACAAATGCATTTGAACCTTGCAGAAAATGTTTGGTAGAATGACATCTGGCCCAAAGTTGCCTTTGCCTCATGATCTAAGAACAATATTGCATTTTTGTGGTTGGTCAAAAGAAAGAAAGAAAGAAAAAGAAATAACACTGCTAGACGTTGGTCCCAGAATGCAACATGTCCTATATTTAGATCTGATGTTCAACGTTATTTTTACACACATGAT